CGGCCCCGGATCCCAACGGAGCGGACGGGACGGGCGCGGCATGCACGTTTGGCATATTCATGGGCTGATGTTTCCTCCATCGTACCATGGAGGATCAATCTTTCGATATTCGCTGCACTTCATCTCGATGGTGGGTGGAGATGCGGCGCGATGTCCTTCTCACAGCAAAACACTGCGAGTAAGTTGAAACGACCGCGCAGAAGAAAAAGCTTGGCTATTGTTCGGGGGAGAAAAAATTCTGTGCCTTGGTTTCCTTGGCTGGGAATGATGCTATTCGGAACCACACCGGAACCCACTTGCCGCAATCAATCTGTGGTGTAGATTACAGAGTGGTGGTGCGTTTTTGATGTCCCACATGCCACGCAATTGATGGAGTTCGAGATGCCCCATCCGCACGAGTCGCGGGAACGGCTCGACGGTGACATGCCGGGCCGTAGCAACGTCTTGAGTCTTTCGAGGTGCAGATTATCTCCAAGTCCTGGTTGACGTGACCGGGGAAGGGAAACGGTAGACCGATCTAGAGCGTCTCCCCTCCACACGTGTTCCTGTCGTGATCTTCCAAAAACTAAAGCAGGAAGATGTCATCGTGATACCCTGACGAGATCCGACCCCAGACCTCGTGGAACGCTCGGGGTTGCTGAGGTAGTAGTTTGCATCCGCATCTCGTCAGTGTCATTCTCAACTCGTCCGACGCTTACAGAATCACGAATGTCACCGTCTCGGCCGGTTAACAGGAAAACCCCCCCATCGCCGTCGCAACGACAAAGTCGTAGTCGAAACGGTCTAGACCGGAGTCTGCGGAGCTGCGATGATGTAAGAGTTTCGTGCCGGCGCGGAAGCGTAACTTGCTCAGGCGCGGAATTTGATCGGCTCCGGAGCGGCATTTCTTTCCTTTTTCTCTCACTTCGTCTGGAGTTTTTTAGAGTGTGGTCTTACCGCGATTTGATTTTCGAAAGGGGGGCGTGTGAGGAAAGTGTTTGCGCACTTGGATCGAACCAGCTGCCTGTAGCAAACCGTCCGAAAAGACTTTCAACCTGGAGAGTCCGAGAGTCCGGGAGTCCTGTGAAAGAAAGGTCTCAGACCAGAAGCGGTCCTCGCAGAAAAGCGTGACCGAGGAAACCGGTCCACGCAGGAATCTCGGCGTCTTGGAATGTAGACTCCCACACGTTTTCCTCCTCGGGATCTGGTGTTTGAACAGCTCGGACGTTTGATATCCTCTACCGACGGCCTCGGCAGCCTCGGCACGCCATGGTCGGACTTCATTCTTCACTGAGGCTCAGTCAGGCCGCGCGTGATGCCGGCGTCTCTCGTCTTCGCGAACGAGACCCCTAAAAGCGTCATGATGCGCAAATTGGTCGAAAGTACCGTGGTGACGATCTTGCCGAGGAGCGCGGCGTGGAAGGGAGTGCGCGGTCCCGGTGAGCTGGGACGGCTAATACGGGAGAGCTACTGAGCGCGCCGGCTCGCGAATAGCTTCACCGGACAGAGCACCGGACAGAGCACCGGACAGAGCACCGTCTTTCCCGGCCCCCCCGTCAAATCCCGCCCCTCTGGCGCACCTTTCACCGTCGAAGTTTTGTCTGCGTGTCTACCCAAGACCACCGGTGGTTCGCGCCCGAGTCAAAAACCCAACCCGTGGAGTCGGGTTTGGCTCGCCGGCAGGAAGATCGACACAACGCGTCTTGAGGCCCCCATCTGTAACTAAAAAACTTTGAACCTGATCTTCGCTGCATGTAATAAAGATTAATTGAAGATCGCCAATGAGAGCCGCTCCTAAGGTCTCAGCCAACAGCCCAAGGCGATAAGCCAAGAAAAAGCCTTACTCGCAACAGCTTGAAAAGACGAACGAAAAATGCCACTATTCAGAGAGAAAAATGTGCCCACGCCTAATCTCGGATCCCGGACCCGGCAGAGGTGGTCTCAGAAGCAGCCAACAAACCTGACAGGTCTCCCGGCCCAACAACGAGGACAGGGAACCACCGAATAAACTTGGTGCCGCGCTAGAGGCACGGGATTTCGTCACCCGGGGTCCGGTCTGGCGTCATAACCAATTCATTCTTAACACATCGAACGGGTGTGTTGAAGCAGCGCACTCACTTCCCGCTGCCGCCGCGGCTGGCCCAATTGGCGCTGCAGGCGAGGGACCGTGTGTGCGACAAACTACGCAGGCCCGTTCAAGAAAAAACCTGATGGGGTCGTGTCGTGTCGGGGTGGCAGGGCACGATGATGGGTAGGGAGTGTGCTTTCTCAATCTCGGGATGGCTTTTCCTAAGTGAGGATAGGGCGCGAAGGTCCCCTTATCGTTCTTGTCCCGTTCGTACGAGTACTGCCGGTAGCTAGCAGGGTAGGGTCTCTTGTGAGGACATGATGATGGAGTGATGGGGACCCTTAGACTTCTCATGTTACTATCTGGGGGAGGAGAATCAAAGTAGTTAGTCCCCCAATTCGAAGTCCAAGGTCTCCGAGGCACTGCTGCTGCTGCTGCTGCTGCTGCTGCTGCTTAGCTACGTTGCCGTACGTCTCTAGCGCACTTCATGTTTCTATTTGAAAATCAGAAGGGGGTGTGTGTGCCATTTCTCCAAGAATCTCGGTACGCGATTACGGTATGGAGTGGTTTTCTGTGATGGCGCGGTGGGTGAGGTGAGTCCAGGCCGGTAGCGCCCGTCCGGTGCGACTGAGGTCATCGTGCATGGGCGAGACTACCGTTCACAGGTATTAGCGCGCCGCCCTCCGTTTTTCCCGGGTTTGGCAGCTGGGCGGTCCAGACCCTTTTTTCAGATTGCGCATTTCATTAGCCATGAAAACGGAGACGAAAGGGAGTGTTGTGTCGTGCCCCCAAGATCCAGGGTTTCACGGCCACGATAACTTGATTTCGGAAAGGCGTGTGTTTGGTTGTTGCATATCCCACCACACACATACATATACCTAGTGGTTGGTCCCTACCCCAGAGTCCTGAATAGTTGCAGATGAAAGACTAGGGATACACCTCTCGCGGTCTAGATCCATCCAAAGGGTCTTCTTCAAGATGTCTCGATGGTCGTCACATATCACGGGGGAGGAAACACGGCAGGCTGGATCAGAGAACAGACCAGACCAGAGCCTCAGCTTTCTCTTCAACTCCAGAAAAGCTAGTACCAACACACAACATTCCGACCCTCGGCACGGGAACCGTCACCGTGGATCGCGAACTCTCACCTCGCATCCCCAGCACGGAAATGCCCTCTCAAATCATGCTTCCCGAACACACCTTACCTTCACCTCAGGATTCAGGGCCCCCTGGGCAGTTCACGACGACCAAAACCAGACCCCAGGTCCAGCCCAGCCATCCCGAAGGAGGCGCAAACGCAACGGTCGACAAGGGGAGGGAGGGGGGTCTAGACCATCCCTGGTCTGTGTGTCGCATTCCAGGTTTCTGAGGCCTGGCCTTGTGAGGATGACGGGTTGGTCTAGACCGGTCCATGAACAACGGGGACGTGGCGATGGAACTTGGAGGTTCTTCTTCCAACTTCCAAGGCCCGTGACGGACGTATGCAGGGCCATTTCGTGACATTTTCAAGATGCCTTGCGGGGTCGTTGATGGAGTGATTGCAACACCTTACAACTCGGGTTCTAGACCTCCAAACCATCCAGACCGCGAATGCCCTCAGAAGCCTCCCTAATTTACACAAAATGCGCGTGAACAAGATTCCTCAAATCTCCATCAACGCCTCGTAATTACAACCTCCTATCAACATATCTCATCTCATCGTCAAAAAAAGGCCAGCGGGCGGGCGTCGTGGTATTCATCGCGAGGGGTCCCAGCGGCGCGGTGATCACAACTCTCATTCCAGCCCGCCGCCATCGCAGACACTCCAAGCCTCGAAGAAAATGATCAGGAACACCATGCAGTAAATTGTAAATCTCGTCCTTCCCGTCAAAACGCACGCAGCACGCAGCGCGCGCGCGCGCATCACGCGCCTCGCGCTTTGCCAACGAGCCAGACGGCGAGGTTCGGAGCGCTCAGTAATGTAATGCGACGCCCAGAACAACCGCGCCACTGCCATTCTTCAGATGAATCTCCGTAATGGCCCAAATCCCGTGTTGCTTTCGATTCTCACCTGCCCGAAGTCCCCGATCACGAACTCTCTCTCTTTCCCTCACAGCCTCATCCTCCGTCCCCTAACCCAGCTGGATTCCCTCACGAAGACTGCCGACTCCTCGCAAGGCCATCCAACAAGCCAGGATACGGTCTCGACTTTACTTCCCCAACCGTCCGACGTTCCAGACCCCTTCCCAGCCAGAAACGGCCCGTCTTTAGGCTTTGCCTCCTCGTAGATAGTCCGCGGCTCAGTCCGTCCCCGATGAAACCCCAACCGTCGAAGCCGAGGTTTTGAAAAAGAGGGAGGCTTCACAAAAGGAAAAAAGAGACAGTGATGGGTGGTTTTCCCGAGGTACGAGACTGCCGCCGATTCTTGGCGTCTTTGTTCTTCTCATGGACGCGCCCAGACTCGAGTCCGGTTCCGAGCTATGTACGGGCAAGGCTGATGCTTCTTTTGAGGTGAAACAAGACACGAGCACGTGGACGACGGAGCAAAGAAGACAGGGAGCTGCTTGTGAGAGGAAGAACCCATGAAACTAAAAACGCACAGTCGATGATTTCTTCCCGCCAAAGGAAACAGAATGGCTGCATATACACACCCCCTCCGCCCAGAAAAAACGCCGATTTATACTCATGAGGGAGTTCGTTCATAAGGTGTAATCCCGCGCGAGCCAATTTGCCCATGATTATCCAACGCCTCCCCGAAAGGGGTCCAGACCGTCGTCGAACCCGCCCTCTCATCAAGCTACTCCTCATTAGTCAGGGCTGGGAGGCAGCCCTTCCGCTCAGCTACGTTTGCTCTGATATTTCCCCCACGGAAGGCCTGTCACAGCTTTCCAGCAAGCTTCGTGAGGGATCTGGCTGACGGGCCATGGCCATTCCAGACCGTCTCGTGACTTTCGCAGTGCATGCCATGCTCGGCTCACCCCTCCATTTTGACATCTGCCGCCGCCGCCTTGTCGAGGTTTTTGAGAAGGTAGCTGCGCTTGAAGTATTCGTTGGGGTGTACGATAGTCTCGAGTTGCGCGGACGTGAAGACGCCCTCGTCCTTTGCCTTTTTGAGTTCCTGTTTGTGCAGGTGCTCGAACACGCTAGGGAATGTGTCAGTAAGAAGGCGCCTGACTGACAGCAGGGCTGGCTGAGGGAGATGAACATACCGATTACACGCCATGTGAAACTTTTGGTTCTCCTTGTCCTCCTTGACTCCGTTGAGCGTGGCCCGGTCGCTGACACCCATGGCCTGGACCAGTGTTGTGAGATTCTCGAGGTTAAAGTGCCGATACGGGCAGCCGTGGGCCTCGCCCGGGCCGGGCGGATGCTCTGTCAGGATCTTTTGGCAGCTGAACGGGCTGTAGCCGCCTCCGCGACGATTCGAGTCACCTCCGACGTCTCCGTACGAGTGGCGGACGTTGTAGCGGTACTCCTTGTTGAAGGTGTCGTCGGTCACATTGCGGAAACCTTGTCGCCAGAAGACTAAGCTCTCCTCGAGGTTCAGGCCGATGCCCTTGAGGAAGAGGGTGTATTGAAGACGGCCGAAGTGCTTCAGGTGGGCGTCACGACGGAGCGAGCGGTGTAGGTGGGACATGCATGCCGGGAAATGCTGAGCGAGGTTGTCGATGTTGCGGGCGGTTATTTCGGCGCCGACTGGTGCGCCTGTGTTGGAGGCGTAGGAGCTGTCGGGGGTGATGAAGTTCTTAGAGAGGTGGTCGAGGATCGGCGTGAGGCGGTCGTCCTCGTCCAGGCGGGGCAGAGCGCGCGCCGTGAGCTACTGTTGTCAGTCACTGTGGTCAAGTTGAAATCACAGATACCTACTTCTAGTTGTCGTTCCAACCTCGACACAAATTCACCAATCACCATACTGGCCTGCTCTCTCCCGGGAACGAAGGCCTTGCCTGCCTTGAGAAACACTTTGCGCTGCTCTACGAGTTCTGGTACGCGATCCCAATCGACCTTGAACCAGTTGTCGTCCTCCATTGCGTTCTTGCCCCAGGGGCGCGACATGGATGCCAGCTCCGAGGCATACTCCCGCTTTTCGTCTTCTGTGACATTCTCCCACCAGTCGAGGTCTAGGCCGCCGATGAAGGCAGCTCGTTCGCTCAGGTCGTCGCTGTTAAGTCGCAGGCGGAACAGCATGGTCTCGACGCGGACGAAGCGGCGACGCAGGTCTTCTGTCCTTGCAAAAGCGAGGCGGAGGATGAAGTGACTGTAGTGGTCTTTTTGTCTCTGGGCAAAGAGTTTCGGGGAGTGGGAGCTGTTCGATTCGAGGGGTAGGTACTTGTCGAGGAGCGGCTTCATGTGGTTTGCGATCTCTTGGGGCGACTTATTGCGGAAGGCGCAGGCTTCGAGCTCGGCGAGAACTGGACGAGTCAGCGACGAAGGACACGGGAGGAAAGACTGTCACGCACTCCTTAGGCGATCAATGGCCCATTGCTCAAACTGCTCGAGGGTAATGTCTGCCGTGGGCGCCTCGGCGTAGAAGTTGAGGCGGTGGGGGTACTCGATCTCCTTATAGGCAGGTGAAGCGAACTGCTTCTTGCGGTGGTCGACGACATTGCGCCGCTTGGGATCGATTCGGTTGTAGTCTTGCCGCAACATGTTGGCGTTACCGGGGTATGTGGATGTTGAAGAATTGAGTGGTCTCTTTGGTGGTGAGCAGAGAAATGTTGTCGGTCCTGGTGCTGGCGTCAGGGAGACGCGTCGGGTCGCGTCGTGGGGACTTTCAATTAAGAGACGTCGGCCAATGAGAGCGAGTCGAAATCAATAGGTGGAGACGGGAGTGCACGTCCCCATTCTTAGGTAATCTTTAAAAAATACGTACCTCTTACCTTCAATTCTCGCGATGTTTCTCATTGCTCTCTTCATCTTCGTCTTTCATCTTCATATCCATCTCCATCTTCACATGTCGAACCGTGCAAACCTTACTCACTAAACTCCCGATACAGGTCAATCGAAGTCATATCTATAGACCATCAAGCTAGAGTCATCATCTGAGCCAAGGCATACCGATGCGCATCAACAAAAGTTCCTAATCTCGGTGTCGAACATGTCCAAGTCCACGCACCAAGGGCGGTCAATCCCGACTTATTCTGCTGCTGCATCCGGGATAAAGTCGTACAACTCCGTCTGCGAATGATTAATCCCGGGCCCTCCGTCACCGCGAATATGCACGGCGTCACGTTTCTCTCCCAGTACATACCGACGCATACCGAGCGACCAGCTACGGCCCAACCATGTCAAGCCGGCGCTGCCCCGCGTGACCTCCCGCCGATTCCTAATTCTTGAAGCCCCACCACCCTTCCGGGCCCCTTGGTCAGCCTCAACACCCCGGCATGGCCCAAGGCATCCTTCTTCAACCCCGTCTCCCGGCTTTATCTCACTCATTGTTGTAGCTGAATTCTAATTTCACAGTTAATCTGGTGCCTTGCACTTGTCCCTCGCCTATTAGTTTGCCATCGAAGCAACCCCTGGTGTCGCACGCTGTTCGGCCGCCAATGCCGCCATAAGTCATCAAGATGGCCTCCTTGTCATCCCTCGGCCTGAATTTACGTCTCACTGACATTGACGAGAATCTCAAATCTAACGCAGCCGCACTTTCATGGCCAAATTCTGTGCCTAGCAGAAGTGTCCCTCGGAGCGTCCACAGCTTTGTTGAGGACGTTCCCTGTTTCGCGTATAATGAAGTGTTCGAAAGGTACGCCAACTGCTTTTCATATCACGCAGTATCATCAAGAGATAGAGCTGTGCCTACGCATACATACCAATCGATGTTTTTCAACCGAGTTCCAGAAGGGGCTTTACTTGAATCATACTGAAGTGTCTGCTTGGCAAGTGCTTGGGGTCGAGACTGCTCTCGAATGATGTTGCTTCAATCTTCATCACACTTTCCATGACCCAGGCCGATTCAGTCTGGGTCTCCTCATCTCAGCCACACAACTGACAACTTGGCAACAGCGGCGAGGTCTTCCAAGCCGTCTCATCCGGCTCAGGCATCTACTTGCCTCTACATTCTCTACATTTGTCCCCTTATTCCCAACCGGCCTTCACTGTGTCCAAATGCCGCCAGACCAAGACCATAGAGGTCGAGGTACACAGCTTGTCGCTCTTGTCGTCCCTCGCTATCGCCATTCCTTCGCCCGAATTTTCTTCTCTCCTGGAAAACTACACCGATCTCAGGGATGCCTTGCACAACCTGGAAAAGATCCCGTCGTGTTATTATGCCGCCGGCGAACTTCGGCTTCTCGCCCGGGACCTACTTCTCGATAGAGCCCTCTTCGCCGGCATTGGTACGGACTTTTACCAATCACAAAACCTACTGGGCCTCGATCAGCTGCACGATATGCATCAACGAAGTGTTGAAGCTGGCCTGGACGACGTCGATACCTGCTTCTCACTGGGCATCATCCCCGACGTAGTAACCGACGAGTACCTCGAGGCTTTGACGTCCAAATTCTCCGAGCTGGCTCTCATGGGTGATCTTGCTGGTCTCCAGAAGCTTTGCGAGCCCGTTGTCCGTTCCGGGGAGATTGAGTGGCAAACCAGCCCCGATCTGCTGCTGCAGCTGCTAGATCAAGGGCGACTGGATATCTATCGCTACATCCTCGACCTCGCATCGCGGACGAAGGATAAGCCGGACAGCCAACAGGGTTCATGGCTTTCAGACATCACCCACGATCCTCTTCACTTGGCCATCCGACTTGGTCACTTGGAACAAGTCGAGAGCTTCTTACAACAGGGTGCTACTTTCTTGGGTACCTATCAGAGCGAGGAGGCTGGGAGTGGCATTGTTCTCACGCCACTCTCAGCTGCTGCTTTCTGGGACCAGCCTGACGTCGTTCGCTTGATCCTGCGGCACAACATCATGGCTGAGGGTGCGCAGGAAGCTGCCGCTATTGCGCTTTACAACAACGACACGGAAATGATGGAGATTCTGCTGTCCTCCGGCGTCACCAACGCGCCTTGTCTAACCATGCGCCAGAACGCCGTCGACTCGTTCGCGGACCTCAGCATCATCGACCAACCTTCCATGTTTAATACTGCCCAGACAGTAACCGAAAGCCCAGAGTCTCAGGTGCGGGAACTCCTGATCGGCGACAGCGATCCGAGGGCGACGGACACGGCTCTTCAGCGTCCCAAAACAAGCCTACCGAAGGAGCCTATCCAGCCCAAATGTTCTCGCCGACAACGCCGTCTACTTGGGCAAGATCTCGTCTCATGCATGCACAACATGTGCTCTCGGCTACGCGAGGTATGCGAGTGCTCGATCCATGACGACGTGCGGAATCTCGGGCAAGACTACTCCTATGCCAATGGTGTTTGGGAGCGTGGTATCGGTGTCTTCCGCGGTTTGATGCAAGACAACCCACCGACCACTTTGGTCGAAGTCATTGACTCCCTACTTGTGGCAAATTCCATCTGCCTGACCTTTTTCAAGAATGATGCTTCGATCTTGGTTCAGTAAGTCCTTCTTCTCTACAGACAAAACACAGGTGCTGATTTCAAAGCAGGTTCTACAGCGACCTCGACCGCTGGCGATCACTTCTGCCCGGCTCATCGTATGCGTTCTTCGACGAAATAGCTTTCAGGATGTGGGCTTTTACCCCTCCGAGCCACGCGGTATCCGACTTCGACCCCAGCAACCTGCCTCACTTCCAAGGACTGGTCCAGGGCCTGATATCTCTCGAGAAGCGACGAGAAGCCGCCCCATCACGCAGTTCTGCTTCCGGAAGCCGGCTGAGTGCCATTCAGAGGTCGTTCGAAACGCGCGAGACCTCTCAACATGCTGCCCAAGGCCAGACGATCCCAGGTCGCTCGTCGACACGGCAAACTTCACACCCGAACTCGTCGACTCAACAAGACGATTTCACGTGGGCAGACTTCCTCCACATGGATAGATTCGAGGACGTGGCGAGAGGACAGTCGCGGACGCCGGCGGCAAACAGCTGGGAGGATGCGCTGTCGTCCACCATGATCCTGCTCGCCTCAGTCGCGTTTTCTATCGTCCTGTCGTTGATGATAGGTCTCCACGGCTCAACGACCCAAGTCCTCCAGACGATCGCCGGCAGCCTGCCCGGATACGCCCGTTCGTATACCCTGCTAGCGGAATACCTCGCGATGCACGACGTCTTGATCGCACACAAAGACGACCTTGTCCCCTCTGCGGCTTCGTCGCTGGTGCCGCCATCGCCGGCGTACGGGTCAGATGCGTACCTGACCCCAGTCAGCAGCTTCTCCTCGCTCAACACGCTGGGCATGCCTCGCAACATGTCCTCGTCGAGCATCAGGTAAGAAACCCTCACTTCGCGATAGTTCGCACACGGCTGACCCCCGACGCAGTAGCATCGGATCGTCCATCTCGAGACCGCCTTCTCGCGATCATCCCACACGAGGAAGCAGGCTGCCGTGCCCCAAACCAATGTGCACCAAGACGTTCTCCAGCGTCAGTAACCGCAACAAACACGTTCGCGAGGGCTGCGCGTACACGCGTGAGAAGCGGGCGGGGTATGAGTGCAGGAACGGGCCGTGTACGAAGGTTTTAACAACCAGGTGGTACAGAGACACGCACGAGAGAGAACGGTGCCGGTTTAGACAGGGTGAATGAGTGGCTTACATGGTGTTGGGGGCGTTTCCCTTTTTCAATCGCAATAAAGACCGAGTCGAGTCGACTAATGAGTTATTGATTCAACATGATAATGAGGAGTAGGTTAGAGGGGTAAATTAGGGTTGAATTAACATACGGTAAGCATTACATTCGGAATTAGCACTGCGCTTTAATTGGGGATAGGAGTGTGAGAATATACGGTTGCGCCATTGCGCGATGTTTGAGTAGTACATCTACTTCCCTTTTTAGCAAAGAACTTTTTGTATTGGCACCCGCAGAGATAAAACTCCTAAAACAAGTCAGAACTCGCTACTAGTCATCTTCCTTCTCGTTGTCAACAGCGTCGCGAACGCTGCCGCTTTCAACCTCCGGGGGGGGAGGGCTCTGCGTCGACACCCGTGTGCAACAGCATTACCATCCTCATCATTATGCTCTGGCGATGGCGATCTTCTTTTCTTTGCCTGCTTCTCTGTAATAGAACGGCTCTTTAACTCCTTAGACAGCTTGATGTATATCTACTGAGAGACAATGTCGGTAATGGAGGCGATGGAGGCGGAGAGATCATCTACTAGATGCCAGACCGCAAGTCTAATATACTTTTCGCACAGATAAACTCTCCGGCATCGATGTTCCCCTGGGCTGCTGTAGACCAGTCGTATGCCTGAAGATGAGACAGGAACTCTGCCGCCGTCTCTGCCAGATGTTTCGACTTGGTAACAAGAGTCCGTCGCTGGTTGCTGGCAAGCCAAGAGGACAGGACGTCTGTGAGGAGACCCTTGTGTGTAGTCGTCAAGGTCGCCGGGATCTCACTGTCCTCAGAGCTGTCACTATAACTTATGTTAGACCTGTGGGCGGCCAGACGAGACTGCATCTTTTCTAGCATTGTATTCTGCACTAGGACAGTCTTCTGTAAAGCGCTGATCTGACGACACATCGTCTCCATGTTATTCATGACCGCCTTATCAACGGGTGAAAGGAGGGACAAGGCGCCCTTTGGAGTGACCCAGTAGGAGGTGGTAGTAACGTCCTTCTCGGGATTAGGCATCCCGGTTTTGGCGGCACGTCTAGATGACATTGTAGCGAAAGGAAAGGATTTGGCCATGTAACGCCCGAATGGAATGAGGCGGAATGCAGATGGAATACTCCGACGACGACGACGGCGAAGACAACAACGGCGAGGACAACGACGGCGAGGACAACAGTAGCGAGGACAATAACAGCGAGGACAATAACAGCAGTAACAAGGGTAATAACAATATTAAAATAGACAACAGCAAGAATGAAAACAGCAGCAGCAGAAATAGTGCTCATAACATCAAAAATACTAATAATTTAATTTAAACTGCCCAAGGGTGGGTGAGGACGGCATAAGGTGGAATGATCTCGAGTTTAGGGAGTCTATCGTATTGCAGGCTCGCAATAAGGCCGACCGCGTTAAAAAGGAAAGGGACCGGCCTGGATTAATATGGGAGGATGATGACGAGCTCAACGAAGGTCTCGAGTTCCCAGACCACCCCGGTCTAGTCTTTGGGGGCCGGAGCAAGAGCGAGCTGGAGGAGATGTTTGACCCAGCGCGGTACGATTTTACTTCGCTCCCAGACGTCGGGGAGAACTACCTGATCACCCCCGACAACGTCCCTGATGGTTTTGAGATTGGGACCATGCCTGCGTTTGAGGACTTAGATGGGCGAGGCCCTCCTTCTCCCATCCCAGGCTTCGAGTTCGTTCCAATCCCCGGCACCGAAGGAAACACGCCTGGGGACGGAAACCTGCTGAGCGAATCGTTGTTGGGTAGGCTTAAGCGGCAGAAGAAGCAGTAGAGGGACACTGGAACTGAACAAGAGCAATGGATTCTTGTTCGTTTAGCAATAGATACGTATGGCTCGTGGAGGATGCAGAATAGTATAGATTACGTGTATGGGAACAAGCATTGCAATGCGCAAACCAGATATCTCGAATTGTGAGCAGAGTTGCGTTTTTCTTTACGATGTGCAAAAACGCTATACGCGAAACCCGCGGGCATCTCATTGCCTCGCTTGTCACGTTAATCGCCCGTTCATCCCACCCCCAAACTTGCTGTTCCCTGCGTTCCTCTCCTCAGTCGTCCTCATTCATCATCCCCTCCCAGTCCTCGCGACTCATCCAAGTTTGGCCCTCTTCGATGCATTCGCTCATGTCCTCCATCTCCTCATCATCTACAGCTGTCTCGCCGCGCTCTCCAGCTTGCGCCTGTCCTGAGAGTTTGCTTATGCCGCTCATGATGCTGCCGGTACCAACGTCGCTTCCCTCTCCGTTGAAGTCGTCGTCCATGCCCGACTCGAATTCGTCGGACTCGATGGGGATGATGTCCTTCTCCGAGCTCTTCTCTTCGTTGTAATTGGAATATGTCTTTCTATACCCCTCATAGAGGCTGGCGCTGTCGCCGTCGGTGATGCCCTCATCGAGGGACTCTGATCCCAGGGTGAATCCGCTCCTCTCGTCGGTCTCCCGGCCACCGGAATCGGCATTCGACTGTGCGGCTCCGTCGCTCGAGACCCCTCTTCCTCGTACCTGAGTTCGGGACGCGCTTCTTGTAGGCTCGTCGCTGGGGTCGAGCCCGGTTGGTTGCAGTGCCGTGGGCCAGTGTTCCTCCGGTGTCTGTGTTCTGTGCAGCGGCGTTGCCGTACTTCTTCTGAACCCACTCGTCGTGAAGAAGATCGTTCTCTCTCACCCAGGATTTTCCCTCCCGTGATTTATTGGTATCGAATTGTCTATGGTTTATCTATCCACTTACACCCGTCTCGATGAACTTTCTCATTCGTGCAGCCTCCTTGTGAATAATCGCTCGTAAAAACTCGAAAGCGGCATCTTGGATGTAGATGGCAATTGATGGTTTCTTAATAGTCGAATATGGCACCGGCTTCTCCGGATCCTGTCGGGCGCGCGCAGTGGTTGACCTTGGTTGATACTCACGCGTGCTGTTGGAAGGGAAGGAAGTAGGTGGAAGATCTAAACGATCGAAATGGGCAGGAGCCGAAAGAGACGGGTAGAAAGGGCCAGAATAGTAAAAAAGATGGACAGGAGGGATCTGGTCGTTGGAAGAGGCTGCCGGCACTGGCTTGGGGCGATAAGTCGAAGCCACGGGTTGCAGGGCAGTGATCTCGTGAGGGATCTGGTTCTGTTGTTGTGATTGCACAGTAGAGATCGCGGCGCGTTGCTGCGTGGGTAAAAAAACAAGAGGGTAAAGAAGGCAGAAGCAGCGCCGTTATTGGGCGTGGGCGCTAACGGTGAAGTCGGTGGTCAAGAGTCAAAAGTGAAGTAAAAGATCTATCTGGCGGGTGCGCGCAGAGCGTGGAGCGGCGAAGCCAGCGGCAGTCGTAATAACGACGGCGGTGGGACCTCTACTCGTGAGGTCCAAGTATCTCAGGTGTGACAATAATAGTCGTATCGTAGTCGATAGTAGCGGAGGGCGCGGGTTTTGTTTGGGCTGTTTGTGATGATGCCAAAGATGGTGATGTTTTGTTGGAATTGGCAAGTGCGATTCCCTGCGCGATACAACGCAACCACCCTTCTGCTTTACGTGATATCTCTCCATACCCAATGAGTACATATTCAACGTTCAAAATTCGTTTCTTGATACGTTTCCAGGCTGCCTTTTGTCGAGATGAGCGCCCTGTGTGGCTGGGGCTCACACATGCGGGGTACTTAGGTTCAAATACTTCAATGACCTTCAACAACAAATCCCCGATAGTCTAGTGGTGAGGATATCTGCTTGTCATGGAAACACGATTCGCAGGGGACCGGGGTTCAATTCCCCGTCGAGGAGTCTTTTTTGGTCTTTAAAGGCATTGATAGACCTTTTTGTGTTGTTTGCATCTTCTGCTTCTAGTACCGCTTGAGTAACGAGTTGGGCGCGAAGTGCTGGATCATTCCTGTTCAATGAAGCTTCTCAGCATGGGACGCTTGGTTCCTGATGAGACCAGGAAGGAACCACCACTCCGCGCCTGCCAGACAGATGGGCGGCAGTGCCCGGCACCGCCAGACGCATGCAGCGTATTGGGTGTCGGCCAGCCGATGAATTAATTATGGTCTATCTAAATCATTGACCTCCTTGCTTGTGCTGAATGGCACCTAGAAATATTTCTCTCACGACGCAGCTTGCTTCAGCCATGAACTCCGTGATCCAGAAAGCACAGTCTGACGTGATTTCTGGTTGAGATTGAGTCGGTCATGAGTTCGTCATAGGGCAGACCATCTCACAATCATCCCCAGATGAAATAGACTGGATACTACGACGACGACGACGACGATGAAGACAGCGACGACAACAACGACAATAATGACAGCAACGACAAAGATAACAGCAAAAACGACAACGGTGATGACAACGATGATGAAAATGGTATACAGAATGATTTGTATACTAATGAAATGGTATTAAGTTGTTTTAGGATGTATGTGACTTAGCCTGCTCGTCCGTAATACCTTTTGTCGCCTAGTCGCCATAACACTATGAAACCCATTTGAGGATCTCACATTGTTTGCAAGGGATGAACTGGCGATGCTAACGGAAACAACCGCCATGACGAAGCCGCAATGCGGTTCTTATCTCAAAGCCCGGTATCAAGCTTTCGGAGATCGGACACAGCGCCGATGGAACTACGCGGGGTTCAAGGCCACGAGCCGAAATCCTACTCAAAACACCTCACCAACATGCCCTCTCTCAGCAGCGTCTCCATTAAACGCTGTTCAACCGACGCATGTAATTATCCCTCATCCCTGGCCATCCCAGCAACCGGGAACCTGTGCCCCAGAACGATGCACGAGTAAGACCACGCATGCGGCGCGGTCCAATCACAATCATGACACTCGGCTGTCGCATAACCAACGCGGGGGGCGGGCGGCGTTCCAGGCCAGACCCCTAAGCTTTCTGCGGCCCCCCCTCAAGCTCATGTCAGACGAAAGGAAAACTCATGCCTCTTTTTCCATCCCCCCCTCCATCTCACCTTGAACCGTTCTGCCGGTACCGCGCATTTGCCTTCTCGGAATCTCCTTTCGGCGACTCGCGAAATCTAAACGCTGGTCGGTAGTATGTCTCATTCGAGAGACGATGAAGACGTGAGTGCCCTCGGCGATCCTCCGGCCCCCCTCTCTCTCGTCTTACCCACAACCACCAACAACCAACATGCCCAGAACGCTCTGCTTAACCGGCGGCTGCGGTGGTGGCGTGCGGTTTGCTGCAGCGCTGATGGCTCACGTGCAGGAGGATACCCACCAAAACGACGATGAATCCGATCGCATCTCAATTGACGCCGAGGTATGCTCCGAGTGTTCGGTGGCGATCCAATCGTTTTGATAACTGATGCTGTGGCCTTAGTCTTTTGACGATACTCCGCTTTCATCCATGATCTCTGTACGGCCTAGTCTCCGTGATTATCAGAAGGAGAATGGCCGGACGTACCACAAGCTCAGTGAAGGAAGTGAGTGCCCGGTTGAAGGATTTGATGCCGAGTCCCCGACTGACGTACGACTTCGAAGAATATATCCTCCCTAATGATGTTGTATGTTATCTACCTTAACCACACGTAGAAACCGCCGCTAATCTATCAATAGGTGGAACAAGACCGACTATGTAACTTGACACCTGTGATTCATCAACCCCTCGACCTGACGCCTTTGTAGACTTGCAACACCAGCTATGGCTGTTCACATGGAATGAACAACTGTGTATGTGTCCAATGGGCAACAAAGCGAAACGCGTCCTTGACTTAGGAACCGGCACGGGTATCTGGGCCATCGATTTCGGTGAGTATCTTATGTAAAGCCAATGCATCCATCAACCACTGACCTGTTGTAGCGGACCTCCACCCCGAAGCAACGGTTTGACGCCCCAAACTGTTCTTCTGTTGGTTGCGCCGCGATTTAACATTCATGGGTTAGGTGACCGGCGTCGATCTGAGTCCCATTCAACCAGACTAGTAAGTCCCATGCAAATCTTGAAGCTCTGGATCATGTTGACATAGGTCTTCAGCGTACCCCCAAATTGCATCTTTGAGATCGAAGATGTCGAAAGACCCTGGAGATGGACAATACCCTTCGACTTCATCTTCGTACGGCATATGAACGCATGCTTCGAGAGCTGGGAGACAATGCTAAGCCAAGCATTTCAGTAAATCAAATCCTTTCCCCAATCCAGCCCAAGAAACCCACATCTAACCTGCTACAAAAGACACCTCGAGCCCGGCGGATACATCGAGCTACAGGACAACTCATTCCCAATCCTATGCCCAGACGACAGCATGCCGCCAGACAGCGCCATCGCGCGGTGGTCTTCGTTACTAATGGAGGGCACGAACAAGATCAACCGCCCCATCGACGTGCCGTCGCGCTTCAAACGGCTCCTCGAAGAAGCCGGCTTCGAATGCGTCGAGGAGCACAAGCGGATATGGCCCATCAACTCGTGGCCGGCGAAGAGGAAGCTGAAAGAGATGGGCTGGTGGGTGCGGGAGACGACGCTGGCCGGTATAGAGGCGTCCACGCTCGCGTTGTTCACGCGCGTTTTGGGATGGACTGTGGAGGAGACTAGGGATTTCTGCGAGGAGGTGAAGGTCGAGATGGCGAGTAGATCGGTACATGCGTACTGGAACGTGTACGTTGCCTCCGTCCCCCAGGCCGAGTACCCCCGAGATATGCTGTTGGGATCTTACTGACTTTTTATTAGATACAGCGTGTATGGGCGGAAGCCTTTCTATGCGTGATTAACCATCATGGGTGACGGCGTTGAATGAGTCCTGGCATATCGACCTCATCTGAACAGGGTAGAATTTTGGGGTCAAAGTTCCCCTCGGTCGACGGCGTTGGGATTTCGCTTTTCAGAAGAATTCCTGCTGGACTATCCAATTGAAAGACTAGCAGTAATGATTCGCTTCGTCAATGGTGTGCTGGCGTAAGCCGAAGCCACGTGTTTCACCAAAATCCTCATGGCAGCCTGATCGATGGCAGTGCTCACATCAATTGCGACACAACTTTCATCTGGCCACGTTTCGCGTTTACCGACCAACTTTCCCTCCTCAGATTCCCACCGGTCGCGATCATTTATGCCATCTAATGAAGAAAAATGAACCTCACCGCCTTACTATCCGTCCTCTCACTCCCCGTTTCCCTCTTCAAGACGACGTGCCCGACAGAAATCCACGCCACGATACCCCATCAAGATCGGGTCTTCATCGAGAGACGATCGAAAAGCATACACCAGATCCATTCCCTCCTCGGAAAATGCCCCAACATCACGACCCTCGATCTGAGATTCGCCTTCATCGGCTGCATCGCCTTTCCGGAGCGTTGGAGTCTGCCGATTGACCCTGCCGGCGGCACGAAGTACCGTTCCGCTATCCAGTCCCTCTCACTTGACGGCTACAACTTCGACTCCGACTTTAAACACATCAGACTCAACAGATGGGAGGACACGTATGACTGGATTACGTCAGGAAACGCCTGGAAGTCTCTCAAATGGAGCCTGATTCCGAAGGAGCAGAGGTCAAAGACCAACCTCGAGTTATGGATCGAGGCTATGGACTTCTCGCAGCTCCGGACGCTGTCTATCAGGCGGTATTCGCCGCTCTACGTGCCGGGTGATCTACTTGCTCAAGTCCTGTCTCCTAAACTACAGCGCCTGCGATCTTTGAAGATAGAAGGGCCTGAGTTGCGTGATTTCCTACTGGCATTGCCTGCTGGGTCTCTCAGCAGCCTGTCTTGGATAGACTCTGCACAGCCCAAAGACCAAATCAGATCCGTTTTGGAACACCACGGAGCAAGCTTGACGGAGCTCGAATGGAGAACCTCTGAGACTCTTTCTCGCCCACTTACTCTCCTCCCTGACTCAATAGTTGAAGATCTCAAGGCTGTTACACCAAATCTGCAATCTTTAAGCATCGACCTCAACCGCGACAACGACAGCTGGCCCCTCGAAAAAATGAAGACCGTGGTCAACGGCATGCCTGATACCCTTAAGAACCTCAGCATCTACTTTGAGATGGCGAGCGAGTCACGTCGTCAGAAGGATCCGTTTAACTGGGATGGGAGATACGACACCATTGAAAACTTTGCGCTGCCGCTGCTCAACTCGACAAGTGCACGTGAGATGGCTTCCTTTTTGCGAAATCACGGCGCAGAGTCTTTGGAGGAGGTCAATTTCTTCGCGGGGGACTGGACGCAGGACTATGGGGAGCCTCTGCAGATGACTGACTGGCTTCATCAGAGGCGGGCGTGGATGAACTGCAAGATGCCCACGGGTGATGGGGAGATTAATTGTCAGGGGAGGGATACCTGGGTACCTGTGAAGAGTATGCCTGCAGCATATTCGCTGGACGGTTCCATTTGATAGCCACGCTGTGATTCATACCATGACCGAACAAGTTCATGTTCATCTTGAATACGGTATATCGTATCGAGTGCTACAAGATCAAACGATGAAGACATGATACTACCATCAGTAAATGCAGATCTGTTCAACTCGGATGCCATCGTCTCTAGTCTCACGACAGAACCAGTCGATACGTCTGCAACTGAAAGGGACCAAGATCGATCTCGAACTTGGACTCAGCCACAGAAACATCTTCTCCATCATCTTCAAGCAGGTTTGCCTTATACACGCGTTTCAAATCCCATTTCGTGCGAACCGTCGCCCGACCACGACCCCCGAGACTCTCGTAAACCCGGATAATGACGCTCCTGCCAGAACGCGCAGGTAGGTCCCCGAGACTGACATCCTCATCATCTTCCCCGCGTTTGACATGATCAAGAACGAGATTCTTGTGCCCGACCAAAGTGATCGGGAAGTCTCTCAACGGAGAGTCTGGATCCATGGACACCAGTTTCAACGGGCTGTTGAAGTTGTAGGCAGCCCGTACCGTATCGGGACCAAGGGGCCCTTGATGGGGCAGAATCGCCCATCGAATGGTGTGCTTCCCCATATCGGCTTGATCATCCGGGGCTTCGGCGGAGCGAAGTAGCGAAAGTCTCATGGTGTTGCCCACTGTCGCAAAGCCGTACTTGCTGTCGTTGAGGATGGAAACGCCGTAGCCGTACTCGGATAGATCGGCGTACTTATGGCTGCAGACCTCAAATTTGGCCATATCCCAGCTGGTGACCAGTTAGCTATTCATCCGCGTACTTGCCGGGTTACTGGAGTGGTGGCTTACGAAGTGTTGTAATGCGTAGGCCTTCTGATGACTCCATACTGGGTATCGTACGAAGCCTCATGATGACGAACATCAACAGGGAACTCCACCTTGAGAAACTTCATCGTCTCATGCCAGTCGACCTCCGCGGTACACTCGACATAGGACTGGCTGCCCTCATCGTCAAAAGCGGCGGATAAGCTAATCTTCGTCTTGATAGAGCTTACGTCGCTGATCTTGGTCTCCGTAACGACACTCACCCTCAGAGGAGTGTCCTCCGCGACCGACGTGGTACAGCTTTGCAACTCTTCCCGAGTCTCGAGATGGAACACTTCGACATCCCACGCCTGCCAGTAGATGGGCTTGTCGTCAAAGATTACGTATTGGTTTGCTTTGCCGCAAAGAACCTCGCGCTTGGCTCGGCGGTCGTACAGAGATGTGATGCATCCTCGCTCAACCGTAACTGTGAAGTGTCTGTTCTCCATCTTGAATACGCCGTTTGAGACTTCTTCGATAGTCACAGCCTTTGCAGAAATATCGGGAGCAATGTCTCGAGTCGATATGAATGTGCCACAGCCCTCTGCGATTACTTGTGAACCACCACTCGTCGCAAGAACTTCCTTACGTGGCCATGCTAGAGTGTTCAAAGCAAGCAGTTCATAATCAGCAAAGGTTGGTTTGCCGATCTCGTGAACTCTAAGAGAGCTGTAAATGCTCTCAAGAAGACCTCTTCCGATTCGGAAAACGTTGTCGTACACCTGAGAGTATTGTCAGTTCATAGCAAAACAAAGAAAACTCTGAACCAATCACCTTGTCCGAGTCATCGTAGCACATGCCGATTGCAGTTCCGGGAAGACAATCATGGAACTGGCATAAAAGCACGCCCTCCCACATCTCGTCAAGCTCCTTCTTCGGATACGTGTATTTGCTGTTCTCGATGGAGGCAATAGTCGCAAGATACTCGATGTCTCTGAGGAGGAACTCAGCCCTCCTGTTGTTGAGTTTCGTCTGAGCTTGGGTGGTGTAAGTGCCGCGGTGGAGCTCGAAATACAGCTCTCCATGCCACGTCGGGAGACTTTGTGCTTTCTCTTCCAACTTGTCAAAGAAATCGTCCGGAGTACTGCCAAGATGTACTCGCGGAAGGAGTCCAGTCGTGTCCGCAAGGCCTCTGAGGCGCCGAAGTCTTTCAATCTGTTGCCACGTTGGACCGCCGCCGCCATCGCCCTTTCCGAACTATTCCAATCATCAGAAACTCTTGCATTCCATCATCAAAGGGATACGCACCGCAAGTAGAGATGTGTGGTCTTGGTCTAATGACTTATGCTGTGTCATGCTCCGCTTGATATCGCCGAAGTTGGCGTCGGCGCAGTATGTCTTCGCCGGTGGCATGTGGCAGATGACTTGGCTTCCATCTAGAGCAACCCTACGCAACTCTTGTCAATTTTCAAGTATGAGGCGAGGAAATCTTTGTTTGTTTCTCTTACCAGTTGAAGGAAGTGTGTGGAAACTCGTTCATGTTATTGAAGCAAATTTTCTGAGTAAGGAAACGATTCATCCCGGCTTGTCGACAGAGCTGGGGGATCTGGCTTGACTGGCCGAAAGTATCTGGCAGCCAGCAAGTGGTTGACCGGAATCCGAAATTACTCTCAAAGAATCTCTGACCGTAGAGAAACTGTCGCACAAGAGACTCGCCGCTCGGCATGTTCGTGTCGTGTTCGATCCAGCAACCGCCAATGGGAAGGAATTGACCTTGCTTGACTTTGGCCTTTACCCGTTCCCAGGCGTATGGGTAGCCCTCTTTCAACCATTTGAACTTTTCAGCGCTTCCGTCAGTACTTTCGCACCATCACTTGGGGACGTATTTTGACGTACCTGCTGAGCTTGGGAGCATGCGAACTTGAGCTCAGGATACCGGTCCATCAAGTCACACTGATTAGACCACGATCGGACAACTTTCCGCTTGGTCTCCTCCCACGGCCACAACCAACAAGTGTCGATATGGCAATGTCCGACCGCAATCACACTTGGGCTTTTGTCGCCACGCACAGCGTAAACCGCCTCAGAGTTGATGTTCGGGCCCAGATATTCCTCGGCAATCTTTCGACTGCGTATGATGGAATCTCTATCGCCGGCCTTGAATGTGTTGATGATTCTTGTCGCAATGTTCAAGGCTTCATGTTGTTCCCAAGAGTCTTCGGGGAACTCTTGGGCGGCTTGATGGATTACTTGGATGTCGGTATGCAGCTTGCGAGCTTGCAGGTCCACTGCAACAATCTCGGCCTTGGACAGCAGAAAGTACTTGTCTGGATCAGGAGGTTGGATGGCGTCACCGTTGGCGTTGTTCTTGAAAATGGGGTCGCCTGCCGCGTTTCCAAACATGCCGTTGCAGGCCATTTCGACGAAAATGACATGGGTTTCCCCATCCCTGAAAGACTGAGGGATAATCCATTCAATTCGTTCCCCACGGCCGGTCAAACCTTGAAGAGGCTCGCCTTCGGCCGTCCAAACAGTGGCCTCGTTGCTGCAGTCCCAATGAAGCTCCAAATGCTCCATAGAACGCATGTCTTCGGGAATGGTAATCTCAAGTTTGAACCAATGGGTTGACCAGGACGGACCGAATGATTGTCCAACTTGTGTCTGTCGGTAATCATTTGACTGGCTTGAGGCCTCCGAGAAAGATGGTCGACTTGTGCCAGGACTGTCCCACACTGACAGCCGTAGGTTAGGAGGTTGAGAGCAAGTTGCGATGTGCATCATCCTTTGACATTTCGTTAGTTCATCCAACTTCTCACTGAATGCGACAGGTGGCCATACGCTAGAAGGTTGACCTTCTCCCATTGTCCAGGCGAGTAGAAGTTTGCTGTGCGGTCCCTGTACAGCTTGTTGACCCTCTTACCAACTGGCATCGAGGCCCTCAGCGGGTATGGTCTCGCCATCACGGACGTCGCTTCTTGAGCACAAGAACCATGGTGGCCACACATCTTCTGGGGGGAAAGAGGCAATGGATGATGAGACCTGACTGCCGAAAAGCAGAGACCAGAAAAAGAACGCGTAAATGTAGTCATGAAAACGTGAACCGATCACATTTGCAGTACTGGTCCTGACACCGTTGGCTCACATTCCCTCCATCGGCCTGCTCTCCGAATCTCCGCATCTGCCTCCGATGCCCGGGGCGTAAACCTGCCGTGAATGATGAAGCCGACTGGCTGGGGAGCTCGGTGCCGACGATCCCCCACAAGTAACGCATGGGACCAATCCCATATTCTTTTCGCTTCAGCAGCCTAGGATCTTCCAGAGATACAAGGCTCAGAAATCATTAACCCTTTCTGGATCAACCCCGCGTTGACAGCTGGAAGACCGAGACGTTCGTATTAGCTCCTTAGAACGAACGACGCGTGTTCAAAAATTTGATCAACGCCCGCTAAAGTGGATTTCGCGGGGTCCGGGGAACACAAATAACAACCCGCAGAATGGAGAGGGGAAGTTTGGGCACTGATGCGTGCAACGTTGCGTTGGCCTCGAGGTCCACTCTGAAAGCTCCTCTCGAATATTGGCATTTTCAAGTCTTCGCTCTGTGACGGAGAGGGACAGCATTCGTTTACGTTAGAATAGTCTTTTATTTGAGTTATTTCGTGAGGACTGGAGCTGCGATTGTGGTTGGATGAGGTGAAACATAATCTTCACGTTAATATGTGTCAAATTGTAGCCCAACTCAATATAGGCTTTTTGTATAACTACTGATATCTTTTCCCAGCCGTGAAGACATAGTTATCTGAAGTATTGATACTGCTTTGGACATTAATCACTTCTTTAAACCTCGTTTACATCCAAGCCTGAAAGGTGAGCATCATCCAATGCATGACCGCGGGATATCTGTGAAACTCTCTAGTAGACGTATCTGAAATTGACGTTTTCCTACAACAATCAGTATGAATGATCCACGCGAAAAGCGACGCTGATTGTGACCAACCTTATCAGTGATGTCCTCAAAGGCATGAGTGTGAGCCGTATCCGCAACCGCCTCTCCTCTCGCAATCTTCGCCTCGCGTGACTTATTCTGCCAGACGTAGTATGTTCGCAGAGCAAAAAGCGTGATCTCTAGAAGCGAGAAGCAGCCAATGATAATGGCTAAAGCAAGGAAGTATCGCGGCGCGTCCTGGGTTCGGAAAACCTGCGGACCAATAGAGTTGCCGGCAGCCCAGAAGACGAAGTTGCTGGTAATAACGGCGCCCTTCTTGGTTTGGCCGGCGACGTTTCGGCTGACGAGCGAGAGCGCTAGACCACTACAGGCCCAGAAGGAGATCATGATGTAGTAGGCCAGAAGCAAGCCGACCTTTTTACTGGGTTCGAAAGGAACGGTGATCAAGACGACAGTGCCAGCGATGGTGGGTGCGACGGCAGCCATCATGGCGAAGATTGTCTGCTTGTAACGACGATCGATCCACGCAGCCGTAACCATGGTAATGATTTGAAGGATGCCTGTTACACTCTGAAGGAGCTGAGTTTGCCAGGTGGTATAGCCGAAGCTCTGATGATACGTCAGTAAGCCTCTCTGCGAGAATGAAATGCTTTGATAGTACCTTGATGATAATGTTGGCAAAGGCGCCCAAGCCGCCTGAAGGGAGAGTGGTCAGGAGTTGAATTAAAGCGAATCCGTACACTAACAACAGTGTTAGTTCATGCATCTCGGAGAGACCACGAAGCTTTCCAGCATCCTATCTTACCCTGAGGATCTTTCAAGGCTTCCCAGATCTGCTCCTTTCGATACTTGCGGTTCTGAAGACCAGTTCTGTTTGAACGGACGCGTTCGACCATGAGCTTCTTGTCTTCCTCGCTGAAGCAGTGGGCCTTCATGGGCGAATCCGGCATCCACCAAAGAACAAAGATGCCCCAGAAGACGGTGATAATGCCGTAGCTCATGAAGAGGGCTTGCCAAGACTTTATGGGCGAGGTTGATGGGATGAATGAGAAGGCGAAGGCTAGAAGACCGCCAATGATTTGCTGAAGTCCGTTCATCATGTACCTGTTAGAGTCAGTCTTGACTTTACGCAAGTAATCATACAGGCGAGGATTCACCAGAGAATGGCCGTAGTGGCTTGCTCTTCGCGCTTATACCACATAGATGTCAGGAGAAGGAAGGCGGGCTGGCAGACGGCTTCAAACCCTCCAAGGAAGCCTCGGACGATAACGAGACCAACAAAGTTGTGACACGCCGCGTGTAGGCTAAGGGTAACTCCCCACATGATGATGTTGAAGCCGAGCCATTTCGCAATCGGGATCTTCTGGATGATGTAGTTTTCCTGAACACACACAATCAGATTTAGGCTCAAGAATAAAGGATGTTTGCTCAACCAACCGGATACTCAACGCAGAGGATGACGATGTAAATGATCGTGGTCAACCATGCATACTCTTGCCCTTTGAGCTTGGTATCTGGGATGATGCCCATGATAGAGGCAAATGACATTGTGCCTTTATCGAGGGACTGCATGAAGTAGGTGAATATCATCACGCTCAAGACCCGCTTGTCAATCATCCTCTTCAATCTCTTGTTTGTCGACTCGTCGATCTCCACGATTGCCTCGCTAGCATACTGTGCCACTTCGCGATCAACGAGGTCATAGTTCGTTTGATGCTTCGAGTCGCTGGGGTCTTCCACGGCCTCAGGGGCTTCGTGGATATCTTGTTTGTTGCTCATGACGCCTTCCAGTCAGTATCGATGGTGTTCCTGCGATTGAAAAGCTCGGCGGGCTTGACGAAATTGTAAAATCCCGAAGGTTTTAGTAAGATTTGAGGCGCATATAAGAGCTTCTTTAAAGAAACAATGGTGCAATTACTACCATATAGATCAGCGAGGGACGCAGCTCCAGGGGCCTTAGAAAGCTGGGATACTGCCTAATGTAGCAGCCATCAACATGTCCACGCGACCTTGCACGCATGCGCGGCACCATTCCAGCTATTCAACCGACCGCTACACCGAATACAGACCAACGACCGTCGACAGTGTATCAGCCAAATATTACAAGACGCCTCGGTTATGTCCAACCATCTGCCACCCATGCTTGGGAGGCCAAAGCGTGGTGATGCGGAGGCGGGGTTGGGACCGGGGTGACGTGCGGGGGAGGGGTCCGGACCGGCAACCGGGCCAAGAACACCAACCAAAATCTCCCGGGGATGTAGCCTGTTTTGCGGAGAAGCTATTATTCTTTTCATTGGAGCCACTTCAGTCCATTAGCTGATCCTTCTGTCGAGAGCCCCGGTTTTGAGACCGGTTAGGGCGCCTGGAAAGCAATCATGCTTGGCGAGCTACCGATCTCGGGCCGGACAAGACCGGTGCTGAACATATGTTGAGGGGAAATCACCGTCCTCTAGAGACTTGCGGTTCTGCGAATCGTGTGGCATGCAAGGCCTCTTTGCAGGGACGAACGACACATCGGCTCGTTAACCGACACCGCCATGTTCGAGAAACAAATTGTAACCTTTGCCCGAGGCTTGGGCGAGGAGCCCCTCAACCTGGTCGAGGCGACCATTGTGGTGGATGAATCGGATCCAATCGGCGTACACATCGCGGCACAGAATCTTGCTAATGACTTCGGCCGGGTGACCAAGTCCGAGCCGAAGTCTCTTCTGGTGTCTAAGGGAAACGAAATCGACACCGACCTTGGTGCGGATATCGCAATCATCGTTGGGTGTGTCGAGTCGAGTCGCCTGCTGCAGCGATTGGAGAAGGATGGCAAGCTGAACTTCGAGAAAATTCACGGGAAGTGGGAGTCTTTCATCACAGCCCCTGTTGCCAACCCTTTCCCGGGCTGCCGGAAAGCGCTTGTGATTGCAGGGAGTGACAAGCGAGGAACAATATTCGGCTCTTACACATTGTCGGAGCAGATTGGTGTCTCTCCGTGAGTTGAAAACCATGCATAAACCGAAGTGAAAACTGACAGCGTGATAGCTGGTATTTCTGGGCAGATGTACCTCCCAAATTTCACCCAGAGATCTTTGCTGTTCCCGAGCCTACACACCATGGGGAGCCAAGCGTGCGATTTCGAGGCATCTTCATCAACGATGAGGCACCCGCACTCACTGGATGGGTTAGAGATAACTTTGGAGGATACAACTCAAAGTTCTACAAGCATGTGTTTGAGCTTTTGCTGAGACTCAAGGTTCTGGCTCTCAACTGCTGTAATCCGTCGAGACTGATTGCTGATGATCGCCCAGGCAAACTTCATGTGGCCGGCTATGTGGCCCGGCTACCCCAACCCAGGCGCGACTTTCTTCACAGACGACTCGGAGAACGCGAAAGTTGCCAACGACTATGGCATCGCTGTTTCAACCTCCCACCATGAGCCCATGCAGCGAGCTACGAACGAGTGGTTCGCAGACAACCCGGACGGCAGCTGGAACTGGCTTACGAACAAGGAGAAGATTACCGAGTTCTTCGAGGAGGGAGTGAAGAGAGCAAAGGGTCTCGAATCCTACTTTACACTTGGAATGCGGGGCGAATATGACAAGGGTATGAAGACTGATGACCCGGCGGCTGTCGTCCGTGACGTGATCAAGACGCAGAGAGCACTTATAAAAGAGGTTCATGGGCGAGAAGACGCAGTTCCTCGTAAGTACTGAGAGATCCATAGTTGAGGTATGTGAGAAGAAGAATACTGACTTGACAAAATAGAGCTTCTGGCGTTATACAAGGAGGTACAAGACCAGTATGAAGGAGGAACTATTGAGATTCCTGACGACGTCACCTTACTTTTCGCCGACGACAATTTTGGCAGCATCCGACGCCTCCCCTCAGAGAAAGAACGAGAAAGGAAAGGGGGTGCAGGTGTATGTGAACTCATGAAGTATCACGACAAGACTTTCGAGACAAGCTAACAGGTTGTTAGATTTACTATCATTTTGAATACGTGGGAACACCTCGGAGCTATAAGTGGATCAACAGCAACTCACTGGTGCGCTGGAAATTCTGACTTTCGTAACCTGACTAACAACTCCCAAAGGGTAAAACATGGCATCAGCTTCAAGAGGCCCATCGGAGGAACGCGAAGCAGATCTGGGTCTTTAACGTCGGCGACATCAAGCCCATGGAAGTCCCGCTCACTTTTGCCATGACCCTTGCTTGGGACATCGACTCCATAAAAGCAGACAACTTCGCCCAGTTCTACCAGTCAATGGCCGAAGTCAACTTTGGCCAAGATCTGACAAAAGCCGTCGCCGACGTGTGGCAGAAGTATGATCGACTTGCCGCCTTGCGCAGGCACGAACATATCGAGCCAACAACATTCTCACTCTTGCACCATAACGAAGCAGAGAACGTCGTAGGTCGCTGGCAGTCCCTCCTGGAAGCCGCCGAAACGATTCATCAACACGCACCGGAAGAACATAAAGCCGCTATATTCCAGACGGTTCTGCATCCGGTCAAGGCATCGTACATCTTCACCAAGCTCCAAGTGACCCTGGGACGGAATCAGCTCTACGCCCGACAACGGCGCAACACGGCAAACAAGCTTGCTCGCGAAGTTCTTGATTTATTTGACGATGACTACACGCTGACTGAGGAGTTCCATGCTCTGCTCGGAGGCAAGTGGAACCATATCATGCGGCAAACGCACTATGGCTTCGGAGATACCTGGCATGCACCGTCGCGGGATATGATCAGCGGCCTGTGCTACGTCCAAAGGCGGCAGAACTCAAATCCAATTGTCGGGCAGATGGGGGTGGCGGTCGAGGGCCACGAAGGCGTCCGGCCTGGAAGAATCAATGAAGAGTCTGAAAGGACACACCCCAGCCGTCGGGATCTTGTGCCCGGAGTTACTCTTGGACCCATCAGTCGATATGGGCCGGTCAAAAGGTGGTTCGATATCTTTACGAGAGGAGCACAGATCATTCACTGGAAAGCCACGACGCCGTATGACTGGCTGCAGTTGTCAGCTACTGAAGGCACACTTGATCCCGATGGCGGTGATGCACGGGTTGAAATCAATGTCAGCTGGAAGGAAGTGCCGAATGACTTCGAACAAGAGGTTCTGATCGATATTCGATCCGAAGAAGGCGACTTTGAACAGGTCCATCTTGTCATCACCGGGAGACAAGTCCCGGACTCTTTCGATGGCGGTTTCGTCGAAGCAGCTGGATATGTGTCCATCCCAGCGGCACACAATCCTCCATCAGGTTTCCGAGTGCTTCCAGACTGCGGCAAAACGGAAGCAGGGGCAATTTCCGTGATCGAAGCAGCCACCGATGTGGCTCCTCAGCTCGAGTGCAGGTTCTATGTGTTCTCGCGCACAGAAACTCCCGCCTTGCTTCTATACTTCAACATGACACTCGACCTTGATCCCGCTGATCCGATGTCATACGAGTTCCAAGTGGATGCTGAGCCGGTTCAGACGCATCGGCTGTTGCCAAGAGCTGAGAAGTCAGGAGATCTTCCTGATGGGTGGTTTCATGCGGTTCAGGATTGTAGTTGGCTACGAACTCATGAACTGAGTGCTGGATTGAGCCCCGGGGAGCACACAGTGAAGCTCAGGTTGAGTCACACAAACCTGATTTTTGAAAAGCTTGTTGTGAACTTGGGAGGAGCAAAGGAAAGTTACCTGGGTCCTCCATTCAGTTCCTACGTCTCGAAAGCTTAACCACATCACTTGAAAGATATTGTTGGGGGGGCTCTTTGCCGGAAAAGCAATCCGTATACATATAGAACCTAGATGGTATTTCGAATGCGCTGCGTGATTCGTTGTCTCTTTAACTAAATGCTGCTTTTCAAGTCTACATGGCTCCTTCGTGTGTGTTTACGCAGATCCGCCTGTCATCTTGCGAAGCCTCTGCAGCTCATTTGCCTTCTTGACACCAAAACCGGTGGAAAAGATTTGGCGAACCTCCTCCAAAGGCAGACCGTTCGCTTCAGGATAACAGAAGATGACGAAGAGCCACCCGAAGAAGCAGATACCTGCGTAGAAACCAAAAGCACCACTTGGGGTCATTCCCTTCATCATGGACAGGAAGGTCGACGCAATAATGATATTGCAGCCCCAGCAGGTGACTGTGTTCATCATTGTACCGAGAGCGCGAACCTCGAGGGGAAGCAACTCAGTGCCAACCCACGCGATGGTAGCAACTCCACCGGCAAAGCAGGCGACGTAGAAGATGATTGTGACAAGGACTAGGATACCGGCCCAGTTTACGGAGGTGGCTTGAAGCTTCAAGTCTGGCGAGACAGGAATCCAATGGAATGCAACGGCGGCGACTGCCATGCTGATAGACTAATGGGTGTTAGTGATGTTGCCGTGATGCTCTTCGCGTTACAAGCTTACCATTCCCAAGACTGTGAAGAGCAGAATACGGCGTCTGCCGATTCTGTCGATAACAAACAAGTTGACGAGAGAAAAGACGAAGTTAGTCGCGCCAACAACAATGGAGACAGCCACAGGCTTATCAAAGCCTACAAGTCCGAAAAGAACACCGCTGTAGTACATCAAAGTGTTGAAACCACCCAATTGTGAAACTGTCCGCTTGTCAGGAACGTTTTCTTCGAATTTCGAAACCAAGAGAGGACTTACTGGCCATGATCGCGCAGGCACAGACCAAAGCACGGAAGTTGGAGGGAACAACATGCAGCTCCTTGAAGCGATGCCACAGAGAGGTGGAAGTAGCCTGAGCTTCAACTTCCACAGCAAATGTCATGTGTCCCATCTTTGCCTGTACCTGCTCCTCGGAGGCATGCGGATATACGCGTCTGATGACACGGGTAGCCTCTTCGATCTTGCCGTGTGAGATAAGCTGTCGGGGCGACTCGGGGCACATAGGAAGGAGAAGACCGAGGGCAATGGGTGGTAGCCCGCCGACGGCAACCATGTAGCGCCATCCGTGCGGAACTTCGGTGAATCCGGCTCCAAGAGCGTATGAAATGAGCTGACCAAGAGTCACACTCATGTTGTCGAAGGCGATCATGCGGCCGCGGTGTCTGGCAGGGGCCAGCTCGCCGATATAAAGAGGCTAGTCTCGAGGCCTCAGTTTCAACTAATCTTTTGTTGTTTGCGGGGAACCTACGATGATCATGGCAGCGGAACCGACTCCCAAACCGACAACAAATCGTCCAACCGTCATCTGGGCCACTGAAAAGGCTGCCGCTTGGATGATAGTGCCGACCAAGAAGAGAACGCAGCCGATGTAGATGCCCAGCTTTCGTCCATACCTGTCGGCAGGCAAACCCGCGATCAAAGCTCCAATGAGAGCGCCGCCAGAGGTGATTGAGGTTACGAGTTCCTGCTCCGAAGACGAGAGTTCGTGTCCGAGATCCGACTTCAGGCTGACAAGAACGGCCGAAATCACACCCGTGTCGTAACCTATCATAGAAGGGAAGCGGTTAGACCATGTGCTCCTCGGAAACTCTGTTTAATGAATCACATGTTCTGCTCAAGACCGAAACATACCGAACAGAAACCCGCCCATTGCGACGGTGAAAGTGATGAGCCAGACGGCCCTCGAGGGCTCCGTATCTTCAATTGAATCGTCGAAATTGGGAGCTTGAGCACCGTCAGACTGCTCGATGTGCTTTGCGACCCCATCGTGCTTGACCTTGTCAAGAGACGCGTCCCTTGACAGGCTTTTGCTTTCGGACTCGGGGGTGGTTTGCGACATGGTGCCTAAAGACTTCGTGTTGGCAGTTCTTCAGGCAACACACGAGAATTGGTGCAATTGGGAGGCGTTCGTGAAAGGGATTGGAATTTGAGGCTGAGGCCGGTTGCTAGATCAGGAGCTCGAACCATCAGACGAAGGTGACCAAGCACAAGCTTATATAGAGAACGAGTCAATGCCTCTCTGACCGAGAGAACACCACCATGCAGTCTGTAAACAGCACGCCAAGGTGGGTCGCGGGGTTTTATTCCTTTAATGAACTTCGTCGTGTAGGGGAAAAACGAGCACGCGCCCTGTCAACCCAAGTCCTATCAGATCTGCCTAGACACAACCAGACGTGAGCCTTGTTACATCCCATGGGCTAACGCAAGGTTCCAGGGCGAATTCACTTTCATTGCGAGCGCATATACCAATGGTCAACATCTGGCCCCTCATCCCTCCTCCTCCAACAGCTGAGCGGTGCTGAACAGCGTAATCGAATTAAATGCGGGGGTGGGTTGTCTGGGGTGCTTCCGTGTGCGGGATACGCGGGGGGATCCATAACTCCCCTTGCCCGAACAAGTAACAAAAGCCCGCCGTCTGAACTCTTCCTTGACCGGGGAGCGCGGACCATAGACGTGCCTATTCTTGTCTTGGTATGGTCTTGAAAACCTGTACTGATGTTGAAGACGGTCGACGGGAAATCTAGCTCATAATCTATCAGGAGTGGTTATCGTTCACGGCTGTTGACCTATAGTTCCTGTAGTAATTTCTAGAATCGGCACATTCAAGATGCCATGTGAGATAAGCCCTCTTAGGAGATTTGGAAGCATTTGACCAGTATCACTACAGAGTATCTCCAGTCTTCGGACTCCACACAAATTGTACGGTCCACCGGAGTCTTGGCATATTCCGGAAAGCATGATGTCATTGAAGACAGTGACAGAACGATACGCGGCTTTACAGTCGATCAGAAGAGAGTGGGAACCGTAATAAACCAATATGAGAATACGCGAGAACGGGGTTCGGATGGTGTACCTGGTGTCATCAGGCCTGTTGCGTTCGAGGTGCGTTTGCCCCAGATTTCCTCCGCACCGGGGAAGAGGATACGCTTTGCTGCCATTATCAATCTTCAACTTCCAATTGGAGCCCACAATCAGCACCACTGCCTTTCGTGCTGGTAATGGCTGGCTTCTTTAGTCCGCGGGTTAGAGCCGCCGGTAGAGAAATGTCTCCGCAGGGAGAGGATCTCGCTTGCGAGCTGGTGGACGCCGAAGCCTCCACTGACTCAGGCGCTCGCATAATGGGATTGCCTTCCTTGATAGGCAATGAAACCCGCGGGATTCACACCGGCGATCAAGTATGAAGCTTGTTCGACCACTCATGCATCCGTCTCACCTCCTTCTAGTCGTGATGAAGTCAGTCTGTCCAAAGGGTCCAATTTCCAGCACGATCTAGACCTGTCATGTTTCGGATTCGGCACGTCAATTTGCACTCGTGAAGCAACAGATATCCACAAGTGATGCATATGGATGCGGGTTACGGTTGCTTTTCCGCCTCCATTCTTTTCTGCATGTTGACGTTGTTGAGGCTTTTTACAGATGTTTCCACGTATGAGAAATGTCTAGAAATAGCAGCGAAACGCGGAAACTTGGCCTGTTCTTGTAGCTCCGTCCAAAACATAGCCTACAGAAGAACGAGTGGTTTTCCGACGTTGTCCGAGACACCGATTCTCCAACAAAATTGGGCTCGGTGGAGTTGGGAGGTATCTTTCCCTAACGGGCTTCGAGTTGCCAACATGCAGACTGCTTCGCTAATCTCGCGGGAAACGTGGCAGCGCGTTTCAGTCCGGACTTGAGAAGCTTCCATTAATGGCGAAGAATGCGGGACTTCCGCCGAAGACACTGAGGTAGACCATCCGCGGGAGTCGGCTTCCAGAAAGGGAGACTACCGAAGCACGGAAGAGGAGCTATATGGTGAAGCCGAAGTACTGGATTCAGCTGGGGTTCCGCATTGGCATTGGCTCTGCAAAGATTTCCATACACGTCTTCGAGATTCTGTTGTGTGAGACAGCCCCGTGGAGTATCTCCAAGTTGGTATGATCAACCACCACAGAATAGGTGATCGTCATACCAACCGGCAGTCATTATTATAGAGTTCTTAAGTAGAGCAAAAATAAAGATCAAACAAGTGTGCGAGAAAACAGGAATAATCGTTAACTCTTCATTTCCATCTTTCTATCTTAAGGCCCAGACGCTCAACCAAAAAAGCCATCCTTTAGAAGTGGGGCCCAGTATCATCAACAGGCAAAAAACATACAACACCAGGTATTCGCTGGTCGTCACCGACCCAACTACTAATCCGGCCCTCATTGGCTTATCTATGGGAGAGCGGACGGGATCCCGAGTTTTCCAATGGGTATGGTCGTATGTGACAGTTTGGGAGAGCTACTCTGGTTATAATGCGTGAAGTTTTGGGTCGTCTAGCCCCAGACATCCTCCTGCCACTTGCGGTTGCGCTTCAACCCTTCGCTCCACTCCTTGATCTGAGCATCATCCCAACCTTTGTCTGCCCTCATTACGTCGCCAAGTGTCTTGCCAACCTCCCTCGCCATGCTTGCCCTCCCGCACATGTACAGACTCGCGCCGTCCGCCAACAGCTGTGAAACGTCCTTGCCAAACTCCCTCACCTTGTCTTGAACATAGATTTTCGGTGTTCCCTGTTGTCTTGAGAATGCCGTGACGATCCTCAGCTTGCCGCCGAGGTCCTTTTCCATCTGTTCCAGCTCCTCACGGTAGATGTAGTCCTCATCGGGCTTGTGGCAGCCGAAGAACAGCAACATCTGGCCGACATCCTTGCCAATGGACTGCAGACGGAGACGCTCGGCAATGAAGCCGCGGAACGGTGCGAGACCGGTGCCTGCCGCAACCATGACCAGGGGGTGTGATGACAGCATGGGAAGCTTGAACTTCGAGCGACGGATGTGAGCATAGACCAGACCACCTTCAAGAGAATTCGATGGCCCAGATAGCGCATAGCTGAGGCCCTCGGTCTGTTGTGTTGCTTGGGACTCTTGTAGTGATCTTGAAAGGGCTTGCAGGTAGTTGGTTGTCAAGCCGGGAATGGCAGCCGTTGGGGAAGCGGAAAGTGGGGTATCAGAAACAGCAACAGTAATGCTGGGGGCCTTGGGGGAAACAACGCTGGAAGAAGAAATGGAGTAGTATCGGGGTTGAGATCGAGGCAGGTTCTCGATGAGGTATGAAAGGGGGATGTTGGACCACGTCTGGTTGTCGTCGGACTTGGCAGCAAGCTCAAGAAGTTTGCCGATAGTCAGGTGGTTGGATGCCAGAAACTCAGCATAGTTATCCTTGTCCCGGCCGAGATTCAGGAGGAAATCCTTTGCGGCGGCCGAAGATGCGAACTGGGCCAGGCCACGGACCGTATCTCTGGGAACAGCAGCGCAGATTTCGAGGTAGTATCTGAATAATGTCTCGACATTGGTTGGTGTTGGGATCCTGACTTTCACGGCAGCATCCAGCGCGTTGATGCTTATCGGAATACTGCGACGATCCGACAGTCCGAGGACCTTCAGGAGACGTTCAACCTCCTGATCGGGGTTGATGGGCCAGACGGCCAGATGATCGCCGGTCTTGTATGTAAGGTGGGAGCCGCTGTCGAGCTCAAGGTCGAGATGCAGACAACTGCGGCCGGGGCTGGAGAAGAGGTCGTATGCGTTCCTGATCTTGAGTGGCTTGACGGCGGAGTTGGCAGTGGACTTGCCAGAGCCCTCAATGAGATGAACTGGCTCGCCGATATGCAAGTCTTGAGGCTCTAGAGACTCATCTTCCACCACTGCCAGTGACGGCTCGTGCTTGACTTCGTGCTCTGTGAGATTGAGAGTCTCGCGGAAGACCTTGTACAAGTCGTCTTTCCACGAGAGAAAGTCTTCTTCCGTGCCGCCTTCGGCATCATCAGCACGGCCAACGGGTGCCAGACTGGTTGCGCCGGTGCTCTCGAGGGCCTTGTCAACCACATCGACCACTCTGTTGTAATATCTGTAGTTGCTGTTGCCAAGGCCAAAAGCAGCGTATCGCAGAGATGTCAAAGGCTTGTCTTGGAGCTTGGTGACCCAGTCCCAGAACATTCCAGCGTTGTCGCTTGGGTCTCCTTCGCCATACGTTGACAAAATGAAGATGGCAAGCTTGGTCTGCGGAATTTGTGCAATCGTGTCGGCGTCGTAATCCGAAAGGTCGGCTGACATGGTCTCGAGGTGGAATCGTTGATGGAGTTCTCTGGCAAGGCGGTTCGCAAACCCCTCGGCCGTACCAGACTGAGAACCCCAGAACACAACGACATCTTTGTTCTAGAAAAAAACAATGTTAGCAGGCGTCTCGAGAAGACACGGCGTGAGAGAAGGTGACTTACAAGCTCTTCTAGTCTTTCTGCAATATTCTTAGAGCGCTTTGCGGCGCTAGCTCCAGCGCCTTGTTGAGGCTTTTCGTACCAAATGTAGTTATACGGATCAGGTTTGTCCCATGTGTACCCGCGCAAGACATAGGCAGCTGACAAGAGCCCAGCAGCAGCGAGAGCAGCTGTGTCTGCAAACGTGCCTGGCGCTAGCTGGCTGAGCAGCTTGAGAGTACTCTCGGGGAGAGCTCCTGGGCCGGACATGATGTCTAGAGCGCGAGGTAATGCAATTTCCAAAGGTTTGTTCGCCCAAAAAAAAAAGACGAGTGTGGATGAATTTGTTGGCTTGCGGTTTTGGAAAGGAGCGTGGTTGAGAGGGCTGGTTGTTAAATGGGAACCATCTTGACGTCCGATCGTGAGAACTTCCACAATCGAAGTTTGCCACGCAGGGTCGTTTTTGGTAAAGTTCCGCCGAATAAAAGTTCCTTGATCAAGTTCGTTTAGGCAACCCGACCCTCAAAAATCGGATGGCAATGCCGCATCAAGTCACACTGCATTCAAAAGCTGGAGAACGAATCCACTTCCCCGCGGGGTTCGAGAGATGCGAGTTGGAGAAAGTAGTAATCCAAGCCAAGATAGGCAATATAATCCGCGGGATCAACACAAGGGACCGGTTGGCATTCATGTGCGTGCCAATTTCTGAACCGAGACCAGTGAGACTCCAACTTCTCCAATCTTCTGCGTCTCTTTCCTTCGTTGGCTGGAACATAGATGCCACCGGCGTCTCGGCATTGCCCACCTTCTGGATCTAATGAGGATATCCCGCGGCGTAAATTGCCTTGTTGAGCTCCAGACTGCACGGCACTTGGGCCAGCTCCGTGTGATGACCTCCGGTTCCCCGCGTTTTCTGCGGCCCGAGATACCCCCACGATCTGTAAACTAACGCAATGCTACATGACACTGCTATTCCTGTTGTATTCCAGCCAATCTCTTTCCCCGCGGACTTGGCTTTTGCTTGTCAGACCCTTCATCTACGTTGCCCCCAATGCCCCCGCTTGCCTATCTCAGACAACCAAGATACCCTCTCTCTTCAGCTGCTTTGACAACTCAGACGAAGGATGGATGGCTTGGGGCACTTGTGACGTGCATAATGCGGAGAACGTGTCGTAACTGGTGGAGGAGAGGCGGGGAGTCTTTCCTCATTTGCAGCCTAACAGAAGTCCGAAGTGGGCAACACCTCGCCGGTCGAGATTTGCCATTCTCGTGACTTTCCATTTGTTGCAATGTTCCACTGGTAGATATTATTTAGTCCAAGAGGCCGGCTCAACCTAAGCTGAAGAAGGGACAGACACCGACTACCACTGCCCAGTCCTCCCAACTCCCCTTTTTTGTCTCATAGTGTTGGCTTTTTACAGATTTACTGCAATCTTCTAAACAATATGGCTCTCGAAGCGCTTCCGGCGTTCTCGCACGCCCCTTATGCTGCCGGCCTCTTCTTCATTGCCGTGTCTTACTTCGTCATTTACCCTCTTATCACATACTTCAGAGATCCCAAAGGTAAGTCATTGCCCTCCTTGGACTATGGATGAATTATTCAATACTAACGAGTTAGGTCTACGAAAATTCCAAAATTTCAGTCCACTTGCGGGTGCCTCCAACATCCCCTTCATGATTTTGGCCCGTAAAGGAGCCCGATCAACACATCTCATCAAGCTTCACAAAGAGAAGGGTCCCATTCTCCGCACCGGACCCAACAGTCTCTCCTTCAGCGATGTCCGCGCCATCAAGGACATTTACGGACATGGAACGCCTTGCACCAAGGATGAGTCCTACGACCTGACTGCCGGCTCCCACTTTCACCTCGCCGACGTCATTGACAAGCACGACCACGCCAGGAAGCGTAAGGTCCTTTCCTCCGCTTACGCTTTGAAGAACCTCGAAGGATGGGAACACAAGGTCGCGGACAAGGTCGAGAGGCTATTCAAGCAACTCGACAAGCGCTGCACTGGACCGCTTCCCAAGGGTCAGATGTTCCCTACGCCCGAAGACTTGACGGTTGACTACCGCAAATGGACCAACTTCTTCACCCTTGACGCCATCGCCGACATTGGAGCATCCGAGCGTCTCGGACTCCTTGATCGCGGCCACGACAGAGTCCTCGCTCAGAATAAGGACGGCTCCACCTGGGAGGTCGGCTTGCGTGACTCTCTGTACCCTACCGCACGCAAACAGTCCCATCTTATTTGGACCTATGAAAACTACAAGCTTATCGACAAGCTTTCCAACATCATTCCCTACTATCGCAAGATGACCGAGGCCTCCAAGGGCTGGGACGGCATCGTGCTTCAGATTTCTTCCAACCGACTCAAGCGCTACAACGCCGGCGAGAGGCTTGATGACTTCTTCCAGGCGCTCATGGAGAGCAAGAATGGCGAACCCAACAACCTCGAATGGGGCGAAATTGTCGCCGAGATCAACATCATGATGAACGCTGGCAGCGTCACCACCGCGATCGCCGTCACCAACGTCCTCTACCAGCTACTCAAGAACCCGAAGTATCTCCAACGCCTCCGCGAAGAGATCGACAGTGTCCTCGACGCCGACGAAGTCATCGCCCCCTACGATAAGGTCAAGCACCTTCCCTACCTCCGCGCATGTCTCGACGAGTCACTCCGCCTCTTCCCTCCGACGCCGCAAGGTCTGATGCGCAAGACTCCGCCAGAGGGATCATACATTATGGGCGAGTGGGTTCCTGGAAACACCACCGTTGCCATGTCCAGTGTTGTTGCCCACCGCGATGAAACTGTCTTCCCAGATGCGGACAAGTATCTTCCAGACAGGTGGCTTGGTGAGAAGGGCAAGGAGCTTCAACCGTACTTCCTTACTTTCTCCGCGGGTGCGCGAGGGTGCATCGGTCGCAACATCTCGTATCTGGAGCAGGCTGTGCTATTGGCTTCAGTCGTTCACAGATACGAGTTTGCCTTGCCCAGAGACTTTGAGATGCAACGGGAGGAAACGATGAACTGGCTGCTGGGAGAGATGCCAGTGAAGATCTGGAGGCGCGAGTTGGAAAGTGAGGAACACTAGATGCCCGTACAGCTAAGTACACTTACGGATGACGGTAATGGACTTGGCGTTGGCAGGTTAGGCATCCATAAATTGATTGAACGTATGACTTCACATACATAAGCTCTCTTATAATTTCCGAAATGGTGTCTACAAAGCCTGCTTCCCGGCCTTTCTTTACCCACACCGCCACAGGCTTTTAATATCGTACTGTCTCGTTCATCAAATTTATTATCTGGTTAGTAAATTCTTTCCCGGTTCATCTTCCAAGGGGTTTTATTCCTAAGTTCATAATTGGCCATGGCCGCGATATAAGTATGTAGGTTTCCCGAGGACGTCGCGGCGCAAATCAGTTCCGTATGCAGTTGACTTTTTCGTCTTAACATACCTTCCGACATTCAATATCTACTGGAACAAAATCATTTTTTCAGACATGTTCTTTGCCGTCTGATGTTTTGGCTGTGATAGACGATGAAGATTAGCAGCAAATTCTTCGATCCCCCGGCTCTGACTTTCGGCTAACGGTTAATAAACCTTGAGGTTCTGGTAGGCCTCCTACATTCTTATGCGTTTCAACGAAGACCTGCGTTGCACACCCGATCTGTTGCTTTCCATTAATAAAACACAGCAAGTGCAAACAAGAATGGCCCAAATCTTCAGCTCAAGTACACTACCCTCAATTCAGTTGATTGTCTTTCAACAACATGGCTCCAGTCCCTTGCAACAGTAACGAGACCAAGACGCTTCACATGGACCCCGCAGGAGATGCTGTTCTTGTGGTTCAAAATTCAACCGAACAGCCTCCACGGCGCTTTCTAATCTCAAGCACGACACTAAGCCTCGCTTCGCCATATTTCAAGACGCTCTTTGGTCCTTCTTTCAAGGAGGGCAAGGAGACCCGGCAAGGAACATGCCCCGACATTATGCTAGAGGAAGACGACCCAGCAGCAATGGAAATACTTCTTTCAATTCTTCACTTCCGCAATGTTGAGAGTTACATCGACTTGGAACCAAATGTCATCGCTGCAGTGGCGATCGCGAGCGACAAATATGACTGCAACCGCGCCTTGATTCCTTGGGCTTGCCATTGGCTTCACGATGTTGGAGGCCTTTCTTGTCCTGAGGAAATCGGGGTTTTTCTTACGGCAGCCTTTTTGTTTCGCTCGGAGAGGTACTTTTCTCGTTTATCAGTGATCGCAGCGCGTCATATGAAGCTCGATTACCTAAACAGCTGGTGCCGGCATGAGATGTTGAGTCGAATACCATCAGATGTTAGAGGTAAGCGCTTAACTAGTGGATTTTGGGGGCAGGAGGTGGTTTGGACTCTATTAACATCATCTTAGATGCAATTAAAAGCTTGATACTCTCGACGATGGAGAATATACAGCACGCAGTCTATTCAAGGGAGCAGACACTGAGAAAGCAAGGAATTGTCTATAGCTTTGGGCGAAAAGTTGACAGCTGCATCCTATGCTCGGTACCACATCGGATTTCGGATTTCTTTTCGGTGATGGAACGTTGTGGACTAGGTCTGACTGCTTCAGCTTTTAGACTGGAATGTGCATTGGCCATCGTGCGTCGAGTCAAGACTGCATCTGAGGACGCGCAGCATTCATGTACAGGTAGAGAAAATTGCCCCTTGGTACTTGAACTCAAGCGCCTGCCAGATCTGGTGGCGCAGGTGATTCAAGACATGGAAGGTGTTTCCATCGATTCTTATGTTAGCAGAAACATGAGGTAATCGTGGAATCTTGACTGAGCGGGCGGCTTCAGATGGGACAAAAGTCACCTTATAACTGTAAAGGTCATGATAATTTCACTACAGAGCCACAGCAGCCTGGAGGTTTATTAAGAAACTTGTCCAACGTCACGCCTAGGAAGATATAGCGTGATGTGGAGCAACGCACACATCAAAAGTAGCCGTCTTGGCCGAGCGGTTATCTAGAATTGGGATGATGACCAAACATCGCAAAAGCGTGGACAATCCCTGGAGCTGGATCCTTTTGTAAGAATTGAGTGAACTTCACAGGTTATTTATTCCGTGTTTATTTCCTCAGTTGGTGACGAAGGCAAAGCTTCGTCACCATTCGAGAGCTATCGCGTCGTACATGGGTCCTCGTTGAGTTGTTCCCATTGTCTCAGAGTTCTTGCCGGTATTATCATACAACCATATCGTGACGGTGTTTGTGTCGCCCACGCGCAATACAGACGCATCCACGGCGTATTCAAGATACCTCCACTCTCCAGCAACCGTGCAACTTCGATAAAGTGCACCGTCATTGGAAAGTGTTGAGGAGTTGATCGTAGCAATTTGGTTATCGTTTACCAGAATGTGAAAGTTCCCGCCCTGAGAGTATGCCGCCAGTGAAAGAATCAACTTGACCTCCTTTGCTGATGACTGCTCCTGAATTGGAAATTTGATTGTCCAGTTGCCTTTCTTGGTTTGCGCGTAGCACCAATCAGTCGCCGTTGAGGTGCCGACCTCGTAAACCAGTTCAGCCGGGCAAAGCTCAGTCAAGCCGTATTCTCGTGGGGCGCCACCAAATTTGAAACCATAAGTAGTGCGGTCAAAGTCGCCGAGGCGAAAGATCGTGGTACGGTTTGATACTTCCCAGTTCAAAGACCCAAGATCGGTTGTTTCGTCCGCTCCAATCTTGACGCCGTATGTTGTGTAATTGGTTCCGACGTCGGCGATCGAACTACCATTTGACCAAGCAACTAGTCCATAGGTGCCACTTCGAATATTTCCAACTTCAAAGTAACCGTCATCATCGGTGTAGAAGTTGTAGTAGTAAGCTCGACCTTGACGCAGTGTGCTGAGCGTGGCGCTGTCGTCGCCGAGGAAGACAGCCGCCTTCGAAGCGGAGCGACCGTCAGAGAGAACAAGACGACCTTTCAGAGTACCGCGGGAATGGTAAGAATCATTCTCAAGCCAGCTGTATGGCCAATTGGCCTTTCCTTGTGTGGCTATCTTGGCAGCATCTGTAGATGAGCCGCTGTTGAGATACCACAACCATGGTCCGTACTGCAACTGCGATCAGAGCAGGAACACCTCACAAGGGAAGGAAAGACATACTAGCTTTCTTTCAAGTAGTGTGATATTACGGGGGCCGAAGAAGTGAACTCCATGAAGCATGTTCAGCTGAACGACGTCACCGGTGTTCACTTCGCGATGAACCTGCGATATGAGGAATGGGGGTGAGCGCCTGTGCAAGGATGAAGCGTAGCTCTTCAAGAACCAAAGCAGGGTCGAGGAGAGAGAAATGATACTTACAGTCAGCTCTTGCCGTAAATGGTCGCCGTTGAAGTAGTCTTTTCCGGCATGGATATACCAGGAACCAAAGCCTTCTCCATACACCCCGTAGTAATCAAAGTTGTGAATGAAATCGGCGAAGTCGTATTTAGTGATGTAGGTACCATCGGGGCGCTTGTAAGTTGAGTCGAAGACGAATTCACCTGTCAAGTGGTCCTCCAAGCTCGGTAATGCCTTGTCGCGGACACTGTTGTGGCCATGTGTGAAGGTGCGGTTGTCTAGTCTCCAGAGGGAACGAAACTCGCCAGGGTTAATCATGCCAGTCGTAACAAAGTACTGGTAGGCGCCGTGCTGGCCTTCGAAGATGACCCAATGCTGCTCTCCGGCTTGAGATTCGAAGTAGAAGTCAAGGTATGGCACTCCATCTAAATCACCCTCCTGCGTTTTGTGCGCTGAAGTTATGGTGAAGTTATTACCGGCAACACCTGGGTAAAATTCGTGAGTTTCTCTATTCATGTGAGTACTTTACTTGTTCTTTTTACCTACTTGAGCTGTAGTAGTGACCCACGGATCGCCCGATGAGCTCTTTGTTCTTATACCAGAGCTTATCGGTTCTGCTAGACTTCCTCTGAGTTGCGTTCCACACGTCGTTGCCATAATTCCAGTTTCCGTCAGAGGTCTGCTCCAGAAAGGGCTTCGCTGAGGAGATACTGGCAAGAGCCAGGAGGGTAATAAAGAGGAGCATGCCGAACGAGGCAGAGTGCCGTTGAAGTTATGAAACGGGTGCCCGGAGATTGGTGACCTGAGATGGGGTAATAAAGCGTCTAGATCATCGGGGGGTGCTATAACCGGGTTGCATGTTGTTTATGTATTCATCAAGTGGGCGAAATAGTTACTGATTCTAGTAGAACCGTTACACGGAGTAGCGTAGATCAAGGCCTTGGTGCCTTACTCTCGATCACAGCAATTACACTAATAACGAGAGACATCATCTCCTCCTACCTGCATTCACCCTGTTCCATTTTCAATACATTGACCAGTTGACTTCAAGCCGTGACCCAAATGTTACACCGCTTTCAGGTACATGCCTTTTTTGGTTTCTAACTCCCTCAGTCTCGTGCGAAATGAGACCGAAGCTGTATTTGATGTTCCTTTTGGGGTTGGTCACTGTTTCCCAGAACCCCGCACTTCCCCAGATTCTTGTTCGTAACTTCGTGGCCGGAAAAGCCGCTCAGCCCTAGCATGTCTTGACCGAAGCCAGAACAGGTAATTCCGGAGTGTCTTGCGGGGGACGTCGTCATGCCAAGGGAAACCTTTGCCTGAATACGGACTCGAGCATGAACAAATCTGGCTAATTGATCCTTACGAGCGTTGGTAGGTGGAAACCAATATCTTGCTGGGTCTTCGGCACTACTGTTTTGGATTTGCAGATGAAAAGAGTGTTTCTTTAGCTGCTGCAAATGCAATGCGTCTTTGACCTAAAAAAACCGCCCGCTTTCTCGGGGTAATACTCACCGTTCCGGGGTTCTTTAGTCCTGATAACTGGGAGAGACAATCGAAGTAGGAATCTGGTAGGTCTCAAAGGAGGGTCGTAATAAGAAGGTATCGCGATCTTCATTAATCGCGAATTTTATCTCGTAGCATTCATTCCATCTTAAGAATCCAGAAGCATGCGTCTTCTAATAATACTGGTCTGGGTGTTCGGCCTCAGCACCAGCCATGCTTGTCAGACCGACGAAGATTGCAGCCTTAACGGTATTTGCGTCCCAAACCCCAAAACAATACAACACAGCACAACTGCAAAGGCATGCGAGTGTGATCCAGGTTGGGTCGGGGATAGCTGTGGCGTTCTCGACCTAGCCCCTGCTACTCGGTATTCTGGTTACAACCACACAAACTTCACCAAACCCGATGACTTTGGCCCATACGGAAACTCTTCGTGGGGAGGCAGAATTCTGCAAGACCCAAAGAACGCTTCTGTGTTCCATCTCTTCACCTCACAATTCGGCAAAGGTTGCGGACTTTCCGGCTGGAGACCTCACTCACACATCATCCGCGCAGAGTCATACACCGGGCCGCAAGGCCCATACCACTGGGCTCAGGATGTGACAACTTCCACGGGGTTTCGGCACAATCCTGACGTTGTCTTTAGTCCAGTAGACCGAAAGTACCTCATGTACAGCATTGGTGTAGAGGCCCCGGAGTTTACGGAGTGCAAAAGTTTCACCTACAAGGACTGGCCGAACAACATTTCCGTCGCCAGTGCCGACAACATCCGTGGGCCCTGGACCGACTGGAAGGTCATTGTCGACAGCGACTTCAATAAAGATTTACCTGTGCGTGCCACGAATCCATCGCCATTTCCATTATGGACGCCCGACAACCCTACGTCCGATATTGCTTTGCTTATCAAAGACTACAATATCTACACCGCCTCAGCATGGAACACAACCTACGAGCAGGTCCACGAAGCAAGTTGGGTCACCGCCGCGGAGAACGACACTCCATATTGGACGGAAGACCCATTCATCTGGCGAGACAAGCGCGGTAACTGGCATTCGCTCAACCACTGGATGATCGATCTCGTCGAGTTCAACGCTCAGCAATGGCCAAGGGTGGGAAGCCATCTTTTTGCTCGAAACTTAACGGGCCCGTGGCACTTTCCCTTGAAGACGGCTTTTACTTCCAACGTTACGTACGAAGATGGCAGTTGGGAGCTATTGAGGCGACGAGAGCGACCAAAGCTGTACTTCAGCAACGACGGGGAGATGACGCCGATGTATCTTGTCACAGGCGTTCAGGATACCTTTGACGGAAGTGGTAGATCTTTCACACACATTCAGCCAATTGGGACCAAGTGGAGGGACTTCGAAAAGGCTATATGGCCATGATATTCGTTAAGGAGCTTGTCTGAGTTACGTGGCTCTGTTGTGGCCATATCAACTATACTTGTGCCTAGGTCGCAAGGACCCGCGTTGGCTACCTCTTATCAACTCAAACTGAATATCAATAATCACTTTGATATTGGATAGAAATGTGACATTGGGCTTATCCCTTTTTCGATGACGTAATTACAGCCCGTCGGGACTTGAAAGTCACAAATCGACGGTCCTCAGATTGAACAAGCCACCGAAACTCCTGGACAGGTTGGGATCAGGTTCGCACCAACACAACTCTGTGGGAGAGTCACGGCGGACTTCAAGACTCAAAAGATATAAACACCAAAAATTTTGATTTTCAACTACACCAATAAGGTTCCTGAGGGTGCCTGGCGCATAGTCCGCAAATCGGGGGTGGTCTGCATGCACTGCAGCATTCTCAAATCACCACATTTGCGTCCGAGTTGACGTGATCTCTCCCCACTCCACCATCCCACGCTCAGCACAAGGGTCCAGCCGACACGGCCACTTCTTCATCAGAATCTTGACGTTTGAAAGGCTCTCAATTCCAATCAATTCTCATGCGATCTCACCAACCCGGGATTTTCTCCGTCCGATACCAGACCGGCGGCTCCACTGTCGCCTCCCGCCTCTGCACCATATTGCAGTGTTGCATGGCTGTGGGTTTGAACAGCCAACATCCATGGACGTCATCCACCTCCAGTTCTGCCCGGCAGTGCACCCGTTTAGTCCCTTTCAACACTTGGTCTACCTACAATCTGGCCGGCACTGGCTTGCCGCTTCCCATGTCCTCTGAAAAGGGCCCCTCCGCGGAGATGGCTTTGCGCACTTTTCTTGTGGAGGGGTTTCATGACGAGGTTGAGGAATTGCACCATCGTGGAGCGCTAAGTGGTGATGGCAGATTTTGCATTTGATGCATATGCACGGAAAACTGTTAAATCTTTATATATATAAATCATTTCAGAAGTATCACACACAGGCTGAAGTTGAGTTCAAGCTTCAGTCTAAAGTCTTATCTTTCCAAGCTTCCGGTCGATCGTCTTGGCACGCAACCATGTCAGGTACACCGAGCACACCTAGTGTCAACTCCGCTGTCGACCAAAAAGATAGAGCACCAGTTGTCGACGACAAGTCTTCAGCTTCAGACTCAAAGCATGTTGCCTCCGGAGAGGTCTGGGCTGTTGGTGCTTCAGCACAGTTATATGAGCCGATTCCCGAATATGAAGGCCGACACCGATACGACCCAACGGCAGAATGGTCCGAGAAAGAGGAGAAGAAGCTTGTGAGAAGGGTAAGTCTGTCCGTGAACAAAAGTTTCTGACTAGGCTCTGACGTAGTGATAGCTTGACTACAAGATTTGCAGCTGGGTCTGCTTGATGTTTTTCGCACTCCAACTGGACCGCGGCAACATCACCCAGGCGAACTCTGACAATATGCTCGCTGATCTCGGTCTCTCGACTGACCAGTACAACTACGGCATGACAATATTTTACCTTTGCTTTCTCTGCGCCGAGCTTCCGTCGCAAATGCTTTCAAAGAAGCTGGGTCCGGATGTGTGGATTCCCATTCAGATGGTCTCCTGGAGTACCGTCGCCATCTGTCAGTGCGCTATCAAGGACGCGACGGGCTTCTACGTGACGCGAGCTCTTCTCGGATTGATCGAGGGAGGTTTCATTCCCGATGCGATCTTGTACTTGTCCTACTTTTACACGAGCAAGGAGCTGCCCATTCGACTCAGCTACTTCTACTGCGCTTCTAACGCCACGCAAGTTGTTGCCGCATTCCTTGCATTCGGCATCCTGCATCTACGTGGCGTTGGTGGATGGGAAGGCTGGCGATGGTTGTTCGCACTTGAAGGTGCTCTAACGGCCATCATCGGTGTCTTATCGTGGTTCTATCTGCCGCCGAGTCCGACGCAAACTGCAAGTTGGTTCCGTGGGAAGGACGGCTGGTTTTCTGAGCGAGAGGAAGTCATTATGGTCAATCGCATTCTCAGAGATGACCCAAGCAAGGTATTTATCGTCCCCTGACAACAAGAAGACTGTCCGCTAACTCTTGCCTTTAGGGTGGAATGCACAACCGCCAGGGCTTGACACTGAAGCTGTTATGGTCCGCGCTATGTGACTTCGACCTTTGGCCCATCTACCTTTACGGCATGACATTGCTCATCCCCGTACAGCCGGTTACTGCTTATCTCACTCTCAACCTTCGGGCTCTCGGCTTCGATACTTTCCAGACCAACCTGCTCACCGTTCCGGCCTACGTTCTGTTCTTGATCCAGCTGGTGGGGTGGACGAGGTTCTCGGAACGATTCAACAACCGCATGCTCACAGTCTTCCTGTACTCTGTTTGGGTGTTTCCTCTCCTTTTGGCGTTGGAGTTGCTCCCCAGCAATTCCAGCGCCTGGAGCTGGTATGCAGTGACTGCTTTGACAATCGGATACCCATATGTTCACTCTATTCTGGGTAGGTTCTTCCGAGCCATGGACTGAATCAAAGAGTGATACTGACTATTATGCAGTTGCTCTGACATCTCGCAATGCGGGCACCGTCCGCACTCGTACTGTCGGCAGTGCTGTCTACAACATGACGGTACAAGCTAGCAGCATCATTGCTTCGAATGTAAGCGTCCATGTAACGGGATAACAACACCAAACCGCTCACAAATAATCAGATTTACCGTAAAGACGACGCACCTCTGTACCGCCGTGGAAACAAGGTACTACTTGGCATCATTGCCTGGAATGCAGTATTCGCCTGGATAATTAAGGCTTACTACATGTGGAGGAACAAGAAACGCGAAGAGATTTGGGGCAGAATGAGTCAACAAGAGAAAGACACCTACCTGGCAACGACCACGGATGAAGGAAGCAAACGACTGGATTTCCGTTTCGCGCATTAAACTTGTGAGGTAGAAGCCCAAACACATAGAGAAAAGCCACGACAGCATAAATAGAGCATGCCGATGACCAAGAAAGCCAAGATCTCGCTTGAGGTTTGTGACCCCGAGAAACATGAAAGGATCGATCGAAACAAAGTTGTGCTTTCATTTCAATCATTGAGTAAAACCTCATTAACAGTGGCTTCGAAATTTCTTTGGACTTGCAACCCCTTGCCGAAAATGACCTCAACACAGGTGTCTCCCAACCCAAATCTATTGAATACACTCATGCGCATGCATCTATGGCATCTGGTGGAAAGTGAAGTTATTTGGAGATGCAAGAACATGCTGAAAGCCGAAATTCGGTTTCCCCGTGGCACATTACCACAACGGTCATTCCCGGGCTTCCGTCAGCCAGATATACCTGACAAGGCATTGTTCTGGGTAGAAAGCTCCCTAAGCCTTGGTTCCATTGCGTTCTAAGGTCTTGTGGCCAACAAAGAGTCTTTTGTGTTTTAAAGTAGAACTTTTCCCGTAGATATAAACAGGCTCATTGTACTGTTTTCTCCCTGTTTGGCCCAGAAAGCAATCCTGGGTATATATAATACGAGTCATTCCAAGAGGTAACCATATGTTCGTTCAACTCAGATCACAAACATTTTCACCTATTTCTATCATCTAAGGAAACAACACACAAACCACCAACTGAATATTCCTCTGTTTTCGATATTCATCCCAACTCTCCAACACCAAAACGTTCACAGTTGTGTTCTCTTCGGCCTCGGAACCACTTACATACAGTCACATTTGAAGCATGACGAACAATATGCACCACATTGAAACCGTGGAGAGGAGCTTTGCTTTGGGCCTTGCAGGCTATCGCCAAATCACCAACGCATCTATTCAAGAGAGCCTTGACATTGGTGATCAAGTCATGGCGCGCCTTCGCAAACGCCACGTCGAGACAGGCCTGGCCTTCCCCAGCCAGGTAACAGGTTTCGATCCTTTTTTGGCCTCTACGGTTGGTAATTTTATTGCCAATAACCCCGATCTCGACATGCGTTCCGATTCTGGCAGCCAACACGATGATCGTAGCACAAGCTCGGGGCCCAGCAACCAACATGATATAATCTTCGATCCAACCGTCGATATGACTCCCGGTACTAATACCGCGGGTATTGCTGACTGGCACTGCAACGTCTTGGGCTGTGGTGGACACTTCACCCGCAATCGTACTCGGCAGGATGTAAGTGTTCCATGTCCCAGTACTATTCCCTTGAGACCCCAAATACTGATCTTTTCATTACAGCACTTTGAGAAAATCCATGGACTCAGCCGAGACGGAACAATCAAGACTTCGGTTTCGGAGCTCTTTGAGTGACGGGAGTTGAGGGAAGGGGAGGATCTGTGATTTGCTACGAGGGTTAGTCGGTCCCTATCTGGGACGAGGCTTACTGGTGTTGTAAACGCTACAGTACGATGATTATGAATTGTTCTCATTGATTGGTGTTTGAGTTCCGTGGCCTTGGTCACTATCAGCCCGGGCGCAGAAAAAGTGATACCGTATGTTGCCGCTTAGACACAATTTTTATATGGTCAAGTACTTGAGTTTAGAAATGTTACCCACAAACAGACATAGTTCTGCAATAAACCTCAAAGTTGTATGGGCAAGTTTGACGTACTTTAAGAATCAGCTGTTTGATCCGGTCAGATTAAGTTAACATGATGTTGAGGAATTAATACCTGAGTCTACTGTTTCCGCAATACACGTTCTCGATGGAAAGAAAATAACTTCTATGGCTAAGCCAAAATTGAATCCTCATCCGCTATAAAAGAGATAGCTGCATAGTCTAGTGGGCAAAGCTGAAATCAGAGCCAAGGAAGAGATAAGTTTGCGGCGAACACTGTGTTAGCGGTGTTGCCACTCTTCAACTAGTACCTTAACCTTTTGAGCCTTAGCACTTTCAAATACCCGGTTCAACTCAGCTACTCTCGACTAAAAATATAGTCGCATAAAGAATGCATTTGGTTTACCGATTCTAAGACTACTGGGTCCAATTCTGATCTCATTTTACGAAAGTATTCACTAGAATATGATACCCCGTGTTGTCGCTGGAAACCATTTGCCCTCGAAAACGGACGCTAAGAAATAAGACTTAACGGATACTTGGCCGGCAACCTCGTCACTGCAGCTAAGATATTGATATTATTAACTTGTGAGTGGCCACAAACATATTCCTCACGTGATGTCCCATATCGGAAGCGCGTGGTGCTCTTGGCAATCTGTACGTTGGTATGTAGTATTGTTCAAGTGGCTGGGAGATAAGCGCGCGTTCTGGCTGACATACATGTACTCGTCCATCAAAAGAGTATGAAAGCCGACCATCACCCCACCCAGCTGCGTAGCTTGTGCAGCTCAGCCAGCGACTCGGATTATGGACCAACACATTCGTCGTGACTAGTCTTCAGTCCTACTCATCTTCTGCGCCGGACGCGGGTTTAACACAGGAGACGCCCATGAGTTTTCACTGGTAATGCCAAAAGATCAACGGGGCTTCCGGTTGAGAAAACATGGCCAATGAAGGTTTAACCGCACTCTTGGTCTGTATTTCTGTGTTGATATTTGCTGTTATAGCATGGGCAATCATTGGCGTGAAGCTGCCCAGGCGCCAAAGACGTTCCCCGAAACGACGGCGGAGGGCCTCCAGCTACCACATGTACGACGACACGGAATGGAGTACGTTCACACGAACCCAACGGCCATGAGAAACGCCGCCCCCTTCGACTAACGCTTAGTCACAAATGGAGTATAACCACTTGAACCGTCTAACAGGCTTTAGTTCCAGGGCCGCCGCCGCCCGCACATGTACCCGCTGGTCGCTTTCGGTTCGAGAGAATACATGTAGACAGACGGCGCCTTGAAAGGCCACCAGCCCCTAGTCATCACGAAAGTCCTGAAAGTTCAGTATTCATGAGGGGACCGCCGTCCTGACTCGCAGGTTACGTGATAAGTATGGGGATCGGAAATTCTGAATTCCTAGAACGGGCGCTAATGCTGTGCTTCCCAGCCTGATTACATATACGGGGAGTCGTGAAGGTTCTGGGAGTTTCGGCAATTTTTGGGTTCCTATAACTTCGTTTGGCACGGGTTTCTAGGTCAAAGACATAGACGTTGGAAGTTGGACAATCGCGAGTAGTTGCTCTCATGATGGTAGAATTGGCATACAAACTTTCAATCTCCAGCCTTAAAGCTTCCAGCTGCTCTATTCAGATACTAAGCACAACCAACTAACTCAATGTTTGATTATGCCAACGCTTATGACACCAGTGCTTGTCATCACCAATTTTGCGAAAACCGTTGCTTGCTTCTTGGAAAAAAGACAGTGACTCATCGTCTCGGCCCTGTTTCGAGACTACATGAGCAAGTAGTGCAGTCGTGTTGAGTGTCATTGGGTTCTCTGGGCCACAAGCAGCAGCAAGGCCCTCTCTTGCTTTGCTCAACAGCTGCTCCGCCTCTTCATACCGTTTTTGGCTCTGCATCGGTCTTGATACCACCGTCAAGGCAGAAAAGTAAGCTGCGCTGTTCTCTCCATGCGTGATTCGGTAACCCTCGGCTGCTTTTCGAGCTAACTCCTCCGCAGCTACAAAGTCCCTTTGCATTGTCAACAGTTCGCTTTGGTTCATCATGCAATGTATCGCGTTGAGACTTGTATCTCTGCCGCTCCTTCTGCATTCTTCCACTACTTCGTTGTAGAGACAATTCGCTTTGTCCAGGTCGCCCCGATGTTGGAGACTGATGGCTACGTTGGTCTTTGCGGTGAGAGTATGAGGATGCCCTGGCCCGAAGTTGTCGTTTTCTAAATAGCCGAGGTATGCCATCTGAAATCGAGCTTCTGCTTCTTCGAAATGCTGCTTTTGTAGAGAGATGTCGCCCAGGCTGTTGGTGATTGAGAGTGTGTCTGGATGATTGGGCTCGCGCACTTCCATCTGTTTCGAAAGAGCTTTGGTGAGCTCTGTTTCAGCTCTTGCATAATTCCCCTGCTTTTTCAAAATTCTAGCCAGAGAGCTGAAGCTTAGTATAGTGTCAGGGTGGTTGGCTCCAAGTATCTTCTCTCTTGACTTGCACACATGCTTCATGATCTTGGCGGCGGTGCTCAACTTGCTTCCGTGTTCGAGCAAAGTGGTGGCGAGTGTTCTTGCACTCTCTAACGTGTCTTGATGCTCTGATCCAAGCACACGTGTTCGGTCCTCGTAACATTGCTCGGCTTTCTCAATGGCTCCTGCGAAGTCGCCTTCGCGCCGGAGAACTTGTGCGAGAATTGCAACTGTCTCCAACCTGAATTCATCGGCCTGTTCGGGATCCCCTGACGTTGCTGCAAGAAGAGCTTGCAGTTCTTTCTTGGCCTCTCATATCTGATTGATTCCCTTCAACGATAGAGCCAGTAGCTGACGGTTCTTAGATATCAATGGAGACGCAGGATCCATGGTCGCCAAACCAGTGTTGGCTTCTCTACTTGCTTCTAAAGCTTTCGTAAACTGGCCGCATCTTTCCAGAACTTCGGCCAGGCTAACGAGTGCATCAAAATATTTCTCCTTAGTGCTCTTCCTTGGGGTTTGGTTGAATAACATGCGCATCCGGCAGCAACGTTCCGCCAGGTCATAGTGTCCGGTTTCGAGACATAGAAAGGAATACTTTTTCGCTGCTTGCTCGTCAGCGACCTGAGAGATCTCAAACGGCGCAACATTCTGCTCGAGAAATCTTCGGACGTGAGGCGAGAAGATGGCCCTGTCCTTTTGGTTCTTGCGGGATCGTTGACCGAGATCAATGTGTGCTGCCAGCCCAAAGTTGACGGTTGACTTCGCCCAGCTATGCATCGAATCCTCGCCGTGGAGCTTCAGGTCAAGACATAGCCACTGGTGTACCGAGCCATGGATGGAGAATTCAGAAGATTTGCTATTAAATGAGACCAAAGAATAATCGGCCAGAATAGTCACCGCCTTTCGAAGCCGGTCGGAATCCCAAAGCGGCGTTTCCGATGAGCCACGAGCGACAGGGCTGAAAGTCGAAAGGGCTTGCGTCCAACCTTTGAATAGTCCTTCCCGAATCTGAGGCTTTGGTACCATGTGCTCGAATAGCCTGAGAGGAATGTTCTTGTTGTCGACAAGAGCGCTGGCAGTCAGAAGATCCAGGGCATCGCCTGATCCTAGAGCATTCCGTTGCTGAATCATCTTGCGGCATGCAACCCATGTGCCGTAGACCCAGCGATACCTGGAGGTTTCCTCAGAAGCTTCACCGCTTATGAACCATTGTTGTAGATGCTTCTCAATCTTTTGCAAGAAATTGTCCATTGTGCAATGGCCTTTTCGTATAATTGATCCAGCATGGAGAATTGGAAGGGGCAGACCCTCGAGCTTTTCTGAAATCATCCTGGCTTTTCTGAGCCGATTCTCGTCTGCAATGTCTTCGAACGCTGTTGCTAGAAGCAATCTGGCAGCGCAATCTGACTCCAGTCCAGAGATGGCTTCGTAATGCGTCGCAAGTGAGGACAAGGCGGGTGATGTCGTTGTTATTAGAATGGCCCCCCGGCCCCCTGACGGAAAGTACTTTTCGAGGTACACTTCTGGGTCGTTTGCACCGTCGAATATAAGAAGCCAGTCTCGGTCTTTTGGCAAGTTCGCCAACCAACTCAGAACCGCTGATTTGGCCTCCTCATCGGTGTTTATCATCGATAATAGGCTGGCCTTCTGGGCTATTGCTCGAAAGCTCTGCGTGAGGAAGCTTTGGCTACGAGCGTCAACCATCAGTATTGCCCAGAACCTAGTTTTATCATGTTAGCTTTGGGCATGTAAACCCGGTGAGTCAAGTGATGAAAGCTTTTGACGTACGAATCTCGATTCGCCTCGGCAAACTTGAGGGCAATTTCTGTTTTGCCGGTTCCGCCGATTCCTTGAACCAGACAAACCCTCCGACTACCGCTTTTGCTACAGCCATCTTCACGGGGTTTGTAAAGAAAGTGTTTCTGAAGATTGATAAGGACGCCTTCCCTTCCCATAAATTGCGAGTGAGAAGATTCTTCGACATAGTACCGTGGCTCTCTCTCCTTTTCGGCTATGACGGTGGTTCGTTAGACGCCAGGTTCAGTACAGTAGATAAGTCTTCTGCGATACTCAAATGTACCTTCCGCGGAATTGAAGATGGTAGTGTTGTTCTGAGTCAAGGTTCTGAGAGGAAGAAATTAGTCGGACCACACCTTGGTCAACTGGCTTGAAAAGTGAGAGCATGGCATCCAATTGCCTTACGAGTTGTATGCTGTTCCCTGCAGAACTGTATTTGCATGATGATTTGCATACTGATGATTGATTTTGCCGGCCATGATGACGATTGGAAGATATGATTGCGATACGCGAAGGGTGATGGCAGGATGGAAGTTCTCATTCGAAATGGTGACACATGTCAACCCGACATAGCTTCGAAACTGTATGACTGCCCGTAAGCAATACCAAGAGAACTTGGCACTGACACTAAAGGTCTATTCTTTAGCAGTCTCAAGACTTAGGTTTACGTCTTAGAAATTTGGCAACACGGGGTGATTAAGCAGCCTCTTCATTCTCTGTCACCACTCCGCGAGGATAAACACTGCTTGACCCGGGCCTCCGTATGACTCAAAAAAGGACTGAAAGGCTTTGAGGGTGTGAAGCTAATTCTTGGCTACATGCTGGGTGTCAGAAATCGTCCCACGTTTGCAGAGCCTGCCGAGATAGCTCGCGTGTGCTTCCTGCAGGCTACGGCCATGGAGCGTATTCGGCTTCGGACTAGTGATCAGCCTTACGCTATTGGAGCGGTTTTCCAATGTTTTATGCACATGCAGTCACGAAAACCTGTTCTGGATGATACGAAGTAGCACTGGCGGTCAACATGATTGGTTATGGCTCAGTGGCCTCATGCAGCCTGCTACCGGTGTTGATGCTTCACTTGTGCGGCTTGCATATTCCTCGCCATAAGCTTAGGGGAGCATTCTGGAAGCACAACGTGAATGGCATGTGTTTACAGAGAACTACGGATTGGAATGACCACAGACATAGCGAGTATGACTGGACCCTATACCAGCTTATATGGAGCAGTTTGTCTCTGTTTCAGCTAGACCAATATTCTTCCCTCCCCGAGATTACTCTTCGGTCATTAGCTCATTGACTACAATTCCAGCATGGCGGAGGCCATTGGCGCTGCGAATGGCGTGGCCAGTCTTTTCAACACAACTCTTGCCTGGTTCGAATATGTCTACATCGCCAAGGAAACCGGTTCCAGACTCCAATCCCTCATCCTCCAACTCGACAATGCGCAGCTGAGGTTGAGCCGCTGGGGAGAAGCTGCCGGTCTCAGCGGAACTCACGTCGAGGACGAGGAATCGGCCTCCGACTCTCTCGTCCTAAACGGGGAACAAAAGAAGGTAGCCATCAGCACTTTCAACTTCATCTGTTCGAGATTCGAGAAGTGCGAAAAGATTTGCCACGCCTTCCGCAACGGCAAGACAGAGAACGACCCCAAGGTTAAGGAGCTGGAAACCCCGCTGTCACGAGCGCGATGGTCGCCCGCCAACAAATACCTCCATGAAACCATGCGGAGGATTGTTGAAGGTCGCAAAAACAAAATCGGTGTCCTCCGCCGGGCCAAATTTGCCATTTACGATGAAAATCATCTCAAAGAGCTTGTGAAGGATATCAACGATCACATCGATTCCTTGTATAAGATCTTTCCTCTGCCCGACGATACCTTCTCTCTGGACAAGCAAACTCAGCAGACCAAGCATGAAATGACCGAGCTTCTTTCGGTTATGGAGATGCTGGGTTCTACGGTTCAAAGTCGAGACAAATTGCTTGGGTCGGCAATTGGAGTAATTTTAAACCAGAAGGCAAGTGCATAATGCCCGTCGGCGTTTCCAAGTCGATGCTCTCAATCTTTTGATACGATATGATAATACTGACATGAATGCTCCCGATCTAGAACAACATGAGCATGGAATATCACAACGAGAAAAGCAACATCGTAATTCAGGGTCAGATGACAGGTGGTACTGCCGAGCAGAGTAACACTCAGAACTATGGAGTCTCTGGTGGGTGAAGGGAAAACTGCATGCTCTCGTCTCCGTTGAATACATGTTACGAGATCCTTGGAGGTGATTCTTTGAGTCAGATTCAAACTTGACATTTGATTCTTTCACGTTATTTTCCAGGGGCCCAGTTCTTGAGTTACAGTTAGAGTTCAAGTATGAAGTATTTGTCCACCATTCCGTCATATCACACGTGCACTAACACTCTGCCTGCCGGGGCAGACCTAACACCTTACCTACTGCCCTGCGCCTGTTCTTACCGCATTAATACCGCACACAAAATGTGACCAAAGTCATACCAATTGTGACTGACTGTGTAAAGTGATCGTTCTCAGGCGTCCTGAATATTCTTGGTTATATAGATGACATTTCGAGCCAACAGGAGCAGTAGATCAGTCGTATGTCACTGTCTGTCTGTTTAAGCCCAACTACCATAAGTTTCACAGCTGATACAACCTCTTTGTCTGAGACCACGGTCATACTACGTCCATGAACACGTGAAACCTGACCCGCTCTGTACCGAAAGCCTCTGATTTCAGCTCGAGCCACGGATTATGAAATCTTTGTACACCGAGCAACTCACGCACATCCTGAACGTGAACACTTTGCGCTCTATCAACTACTGAGATCAAGATTAAAAGCCCACTTAAAGCCCTGTAACTTGTCAGACGAACGATATCACCATGAAGTGACGGCTTGTTGTAACTCACCAAGTGACCAACGCAGCTGCTACTGAGACATGATCAACTAGTCCTTCCACGTAAAAGCTCCAGGATTGTATACAGACTTGATCCAAACTTTCCATTCTTAGCCCGATGTGTTGGTTGTCTTCAATATCAGAGGCGTAAGCACAAAGTCCTATAGTGAAGACGACGAGGCTCATGGCCGATAGCCGTGGATCTGAGCCCTTATGGAAATCCCAATTGACTAGAATCTCGATAGCGAGTACGGCTGACTGCGTCCTATATTAGGCTGAAGCTCATAGATATAGAGGGGCTTTTGATTTACTTACGGCAAGAATGAGACCAACTTCGTTCAAGGAGCAGACATTTGAACGTATCCAGAACGAATAGCATATCGAGTAGGTAGTGAAAGCCAGTGCAGCTGTTTGCAATAGTCGAACGAGAACGACGAGGAATTTGAACAGCAATCGCAAAGACGTGACTGATGACTGATGGGACTCAAATTCCGGTCCAGTGTGAAACATACTGAAAAGTTCTGGGAGAACAGGATATTGAACTGTAAGTCAAGCCTGAAAATGAAGGGCCACGATCCCCCCTAAATATGAATAAGTCACTGAAATGGGTCAACTCGCGGGATCATGACCAAGGCAGACTCAACTATAGTATTTCTCTCGGCCACTTCATTACATTTTGACAACCTGGAAAGCGGCTTGGATGGTTGAATACACCCAATAGAGGATCCGACTCTCGCGTTCGTCAGTCAATGGCGCAGCTTCGATCCAAGAGTTTGGGCGGCTAACTCTACTGACTCAGCCCAGCATGTCGTTGATAGTCGCCGGTTAGCAATTTTGGAAGCACTTTCATGGATTACCCCAAGTTTTGACACGCCTTGGCACTCATTAAGATCGATCTCAGTGAAGGTAAAGAACTCAGAGAAAGACGTATGCAACGTTCATCCCATCACAACTCACAACATGCGAGTCGCCTCGAGCATGGAATACCTTACAAAATACTGTGTCTTTGTGTATTAACATGTTACCACTTGTATCAAGATTAGTTTTCTCTCCTCGGGCAGAATTTTGGGGCTTGGTATGCCAACATGAAAGTTCGATTTTGGTTTCGCAGGCATTTGGATATTGGTCCGAGATCCGAACGGCGCGTCAAGGGTAACGGGAAATCTATCCAAAAAAAAACCGACGGTATTCAAGCGGGCTTAGATGATCACTTCGTTGTACATGAGACTTGAATGTAGCATCAGTTGTGTGCAGCATACGAACAGTGGAATCTGGTCAAACAGCAGCTAGACACTCAGCTTGAAGTCCATTTAATTCTCTCGAGCGAGAAGTCGAATCCTGTCATCTTTGATTTATCCAAAGATCCGTACTCGATAGCCCTCATTGGTTACTTATCGGTATTAGTATCCGTACATCGACATCAATCACTTTCTCAACTCGCTATATTCCCTTTTGAAAATGCATCAAATCCCTTCATTCTCTGATATGGAAACCCATGGCTTCAATCTCCGGGAATATGGCACGTATCGACTTATCCAAACTCCAATTCATCCCGCACGTAGCATGCTCATAGAAAGCACGACTAAGCGTCCTCCTACCCGTTAGAGGACACACATCCACCGCCGCATCAAGGCTGTACGGCCACGCAACACTCGTTCCCCCGGTATCGGTCGTTCCCGGGGAGAGCCAATCTCGAAACCTGTTGATCAACGCATCACGGATAGCCGGACTGTAGTGGTGTCAGAAACTCAACCATCGACCTTTCAACGAGCGATAATTCGAAGCTTCCTTACTGCGGTACGAGATCGATCGTCATACGATGCGGCATGAAGCGTTGCTTCTTTGTTGGACGTATCATCTCGGGCATGAGTGCGTAGTTGGATGCCGTGGGTAGAATATTCCACTTGGACTCATCAGCTTTCTATACCATGCATTGGCCAGTTCAATTAGAGAGACCTACCCGCATGTACGACATGTAAAGGGCGACGCTCGCCAGTTTGACGAAGATGTCGTAGCCGTCAATGTTCTTGACCAACTCGCATGCCCACGTGTGCACGTCGTAAGGGTCACCGGGTTGCCTATCCCTAAAAAAGAGTTCGAGATCGATGTAGTCAGACGGGCCTAGTACCTGATATGAAGGGACCCCATTATTCAACATTTCCATCGCGGCGTCCCTGTAGCTGTAGAATATGTTCGAGAGCGGGCTTCCATCCGAGGCCATGAAGGAGGGTAGGCGGTACTCTTCGGTTTGCATATTGAGTAGTTGCCGTGCTTGTACTGTAGGGGGATAGTGGTTCGCTCTTACGGCGCTTGATAATGGCAAGTTCCCGAAGCCTTCAACGGCCCCGGGTGGGAGGGCGTGATCGGAGCGTGTTGCTTGGTCTGCCCTGATAATGGCTTTGAGAAATTCTGGACTTTTCTGCTCCTCTTCCTGTTCTTCCTCCTCCGGTGTCTTGGGTGTTGTTTTCTCTTCCAATGGTGTGTCGCTGTCCAGGTCCATCTTGTTAACCCGTTGTAGCAGATAGTGCATCTTATCGATGTGCCATGGGACGATACCGGGTGGGAGCACGACGTCGTCATCCGGCTCAACCTTGACTTCTGACAAACTGCTTTGGGATGGTTTGCGACTCTCTGAAGTTTCTGAAGACCCGAAGATTCCATTGGAGCTCTCATCGCTCTCTTTCCGACTCAGCTTCTTGCCCGCCTTCAGCTGTCGCAAGATAGTCTCTGGCGGCTGATCCGCGGCCAATTGCGCCATGATTTTGGCTTTTGTGTCGTCATTCGCCGTCTTCAACAGTTCGAATAGCGTCTTGAACGTATCGACCTGTCCAGCCAACTGACGATTGGCTCGCCGAATACCCTGCATCCTCGTCTCGCCATGGTCGACTTCATACACGCACGTATGCTGCGTCGAAACACATCGACCGCACGCAGGTCGTAGGCCATCGCACTAGAAGACCATCAACATTGGGCCCTTAACATCTCATCATCATCCTACCTTTTGCCTCAGTTTCCGACATGATCCGCATGCTATCCGGCCCTTCGGACCCTTGTTGACGGGACTGGTTGGCGACTCGGGGAGCGGCTTGTCGTCGGAGTTGCCGCGAGGCCGTATTGGACGCAAATTAGTCGGCATGGCTGCCTGGAATCGTATGATGTAAAACGCTTTTGATAGCGGATGAATTCGAAGAGACGCATCCTTGAACCGCCCTCAGATCACGCGCGTGTGTCCGAGGACTGCGATCTTCCGCGCAGCAGCAGGGGTCCTGCAGCGCGTGTGGAACAGCTCAGCTCTCAGCTCGGCAATTGGTCTAATGAGTGAGATGTCATTTGCAAGCACGAAGAAAAAAAAGAAGGCCTGAACAACAATGAAATTGTGGACCAAAAAGCCCCTAAGTAGCAGTTTCCGGGCGCCAGCTGAAAGCCCTCGACTAGCGCGGGGCTGGCGTCAGGGTCTTACATTCGTGATCCAATGGGGTTGGCCCGGTATCTCACTCCGAAGGAGCTTCTCGGTTGATGAGATGGTGCTATTGGACTTTGTGGGAGTCGGGTTGTTCATGTACTTGGGGTTAAATGCTGTCCTCGCGTCATTTTTTCCTTGGGTGAGGGGTAAGGGAGAAAGATGCTCGAGGCCACGAATCATATGAACTGGGTCGATTAAGGTTGACGAAAGGGAGAGCTGATAGTTTTGACATGCATGACAATCGTCAAGATGATTTCTATTTTGGGGCATCTCAGCAGACTATCGCAGAATTCCTTGAACAATCAGAGAGACAAGCGACTCAACTGACACACGTATATGGCCGCGAGACTAGAGGACGCTGGCTTCCGTTATTTGAATTAGGTATTTGAGGGTATTTGAGACCGAGTGCTTTGACGACGGATACGTACGCTCGTCTGACGGAGAGCTTGTCTTCTTCGGTCTTACTCAATTATCCCGGCTGGAATGTAGCAATATGACGTCAAGACATAATGACAATACATGGCGCCACGGCCCACGCGCGGTGTACATACTGTAGCGCCAATTTCAATCATCTTCCAAATCCTTATTCCTCGGCATTAAGATACAACCACCCAAGCTTTCACCGACTGATCTCCGTCCATCCCTTAGCGCCCGCTGCCGTTGTTCACCAGAAGATTCGGCGATCCCTTGGGGTCCCCAACAACATCCGGAATAGCGAGCTCCAAAATCCGATTCGTCACCTCGTCCGGGGTTCCCAGACCACCCTCCAGCGCCCTGAGGTAGCACACCAACCCCGCAACGAGCGGCGCCGCCATGCTGGTGCCCGTCTTGGTCGCGGAGCCCGTGTCGGACGTGTGGCTGGCGCTAACGATGTCCTGGCCGGGCGCGAACACGTCCAGCTCCGGGCCGTAGTTGCTGCCGTAGATGCCCTCGATGATGTTCACGCGGCCGCGGTCGGGGCGGGTCATGCCGACGGTGAAGGACTGGGGGAGCCTGGCCGGGGAGACGTCCGTGGTCGGCTGGTTGCTGTTGCCGGCGGCGACGACGGAGAGAATGCCCTGGTTATAGGCCGCGAGGACGGCGTTTTCGAAGGCGGAGGCGCCGCCGCTGAGGGAGAGGTTGAGGACCGAGGTCTTTTGCGCGCCCTTGCTGACGATGTCGTTGACAGCCCAGGAAATACCGGTGAGGAGGGCGGAGACAGAACCCTTCAAGGAACGTTAGTAAACAGTGTTGAGTGCTGGATGAGCATACTCACAGTAGAGCCATCGAAGACCTTGACATCGACAACCAGGGCCTTCTTGGCCACTCCGTATGTCTTTCCGACGACAGTGGCGGCAACGTGGGTGCCGTGGCCGTCGGTGTCCGAGTTGGAGCCGCTCTGCTCCGTGGAGCCAGTCACGCCGTTGATACCGAACCGGGCGCGTCCCTCAAACTCCTCGTGCGACAATCGGATGCCAGTGTCGAGGACATAGGCGGTCATGCCCTCGCCAGCAGACTCGTCGTAGACGTACTCCGTCGCGCCGGCCTCGCGGTGAGACAAGTCACCCAGACTCCAGATAGTGTCTGACTGAGTAGTCAGATCACGCTTGGTCTCGGGCGCCTGGGTCGGCTCGACGTAGATGAGAGAGTCGGGCTCAACGACGAGCACCTCTTCGAGCTCCGAGATGGCGGCGAGCGTCGCGTCGTCAAAAGCGCCGCTGTAGGCATTGAAGTCGCCGATTTGGAAGGTCTTCTCGACTTCGCCGGCAGTACCGTCGCGGCGGCGAAGCAGGCTGCGCACGGCGTTGTGGTGGGCCGTGACGGCCTCGGGGGTGGTGCCGGGCTTGAGCTGGATGATGTACTTGCCGGACATCAGGCCCGAGTCGGCCTGGCGGGCGATGCCGCTCGGCGCGGCAAGCGCGGGGAGGGCGGCGCCGAGGAAGGAGATCAGGGAGGCCTTCATGGTGATCGGTCAAGAGGGATTGAGCTGCTGAACCTGAGCTGGTATCCTGAGATGGTGCCGTGGACTGTTCTTATAACCGTCATCGTATCGCTATCGTATGTCGCGTCGCGGAGACTCCTGTTCATGAGTCGGTCTGGGGAGAGATGCCAGCATTGCGTGACACGGGGACGATGTCCTATTCAGGAAGCTCGACGATGCCGCTGCCACGGGTAGATCCGACCCCGGCCGAGTCTCTTTTACGGCGGGAATGGACTCCGGTAGCTTAAATCCACCGGCTTCTCTGAGGAATACTGGGAATTGCGGAGGCATTGCATCGCTTCAATTCGGCGTGTGATGACATCTTCCGGGCTGAAAACTCCCTTTCGGGGGGTCAATTCTTATTCGGTCACTTATCAAACAGCATAAAGATTTGAGGACCTCGTATCGCAGCCAAGTTTAGAGCTGTCCGGGTAGCCAAGGCCATGCCCCGAAATGAGCCATGGGTCGTGATGGAACCCTGGCGATGAACCACCTTCCCCATTCTTCCTAACCTCACCCCCTGCCAAGCTTCATGGTTCCGCGCAATCGGCCACTGCCGAGCATATTCTTGATCGAACATCACTCATGAGGTAGTATCTGCGGAGTCATTGAAGCGGAATTGTAACCCGACATCAGCGGAGTTCTTGCGATATGTTGACAACTTCGAGGGACTAAAGTGATTGCTCTAATGCAAGCCCAAAACATCGTGGTGCGTACCCCTGTTTGTCGAAATCAAAAGCGAGAACGAACTGATAGCCACCTACCTGAAAGATGGAGTTCTTACTCAGGTCTTGACAACCAGTCTACATGCACTTTCAATCTCTATCGATGCGTTTGCCATGAAGACTTTCTGATTCAATCACTCTCGCGCCAATTTAAAACATTGGGGGCATCCAGCCAGTTTGATTGAAAGGTTCAAAAATGATGGCGAGTACTGCACATTCCGGCTTCTTGTGTACCATGCGTTGGTGGTTTGAAGAGCATGCTATGTAGTCAATTAGGTGGGCTTAAATGGCAAGCTCAAGCAGTAATTTTATTTCGCCGCACTTACACCTACTTCTGATCCAACAGCCATTTCATGCCCTCGACAGTATCCTCAACAAATTGCTTACTCTTCTCCAGCAGCGGGAAGTTCGTCCAGAAATAGTGCGGAAGCCCAGCATATATATCCAGTCGAGTTTTCACACCAGCCTCTTCTCTCAGGATGCGCTCATAGATAAGCGCTTCATCCCGTACCGGGTCCAGACCAGCTACCTGAAAGTACGCAGGCGGCAGTCCCTTATGGCCCTGTCCAATCTTCCCGAAATGGAACGGCACAAACAGAGGGCTCTGCATGTCCGGCTTGAGCATAAGCATGAGCTTGGCCGCGGCTTCTTGCATGTTTGGGCCGCCGACCGGGTCCTTCGAGGGCGTCACGGCCGGGTGGCTGAGATACTCGGCGCGATACTTCTCGGGTATGGCTTCGGGTGGCAGGAAGCACATGATGCCTGGGACGCAAAGATACTGCCCGGTCAACGGTGGTGAGAGGTTGTTGTCGCGGGCCACGTGGGCGAGGACTGCGGTGATGTTGCCCCCGGCTGAGCCTCCGCCAATGATGAAGCCGCGGGAAGGGTCTGCTCCCAGCTCAGAGGCATTCTTTGCGGCCTGATTTGGATATTGTCAGTTCTGTCACTTCATGCGTAGACTCATGACTCACCCATTCCAGTGCATCCCAGCAGTCATGCACACCAGTAGGAAATGCGAACTCGGGCGCAAGACTAGATTCTATGAGTCTATGGCCGTCCAAGGCTAGTCTCATGCTTACCGGTAATCAACGTTGACGCACACTGCACCGAGGTCACGGCTAAACAGACGGCAGTTGGTCTCTTCATCCGTCAAATCACCGGAAGACCAGCGTCCTTCGTGATACATGACGATAAGAGGGCTTCCATCAGCCGCAGGCTTCACCGGGGTGTAGACGCGGACAGTAATCTCATAGCCATCCCTAGCAAAGATCTTGTGGTCCTCCTCATGAACCTGCTCCGGGATTGGTCCTGGGAGATAGCGTAGGTGATGTTTCTCGCGGAGGCGTGTCGCCCTGTGTTCACGCATGGCGAAGAAGTCAGTGCGGCCGTAGTACGGGTCGCTTGGTTGCGGCTCGCGGAGGGGATGCGCCGCGAGTTCCTACTTGATGATTAGAATTCATCTACTCGCATTCAACGTTCACGAATATTACTTACGGCTTCAAAGTCCGGATCGGGAACTCCATAGGCGAGGAGCTCTTCTCGGGTTCGTGGCGCCATTGTGGGAAATTAGACAAGTGGAGGCTTTTGGTTTTGCTTCAGTTTCGGTGTCAATAGAGGTTTTCGAATAAGGAAGAGACTTGGAAATATCTTCGAACCGTTCTCTTATATATTACCCCCAGTCGGTGAGAAAAATCAGTCTTTGCGGTGCTGCGCGACCGTCCGGCATGAATCCCCGACTCCGACATAAGCGGCCCCACCCAAGTAATTATCTCCGATCCGACCCTCCGCCGTGTCGCCCAAGGTCCGGCCCGGGCGCCAAGCCAATCAACTCCGATCTAGCTTTTTGGCGCCTCAAATCCGGCTTCCATAATTGGCACCGATCTGAGTGGTCATCCCATTAAAGTTTTGAATTTTCGGGCGTAAGTTCTTGAGTTGCTTCCTTGTTGACGCTGCGTAAATCATCCGGCGAATCGATGAATGAGTGAGTGATTGATAGCGTAAAGTTGGATTCGTGTTGAGCTTATTCTGGGTTTCATGGACACTTGAGTTTTCAATTACTACAGTTTTGCTGCGGTAGAACCACAGACAGTATGAACCTTTTGCCTGGGGGCTGAGAAACAAGAACGTTATGAGGTATCTCCGATAAGAAGAAAAGAAAAGTCTTCACGGCAAGCAACACAAAGATATGTCAGACTCATGATAAATAATCTTTCTCGAATATGCAACTTATGACTTTGTCTCCTCTCGTTCCTAAGCTTTGCCTCAGGAAGTTTACTCGGTTCTTCTCCTTTTCTCAGTAAACAGGGAAATTAGGCAGTCACCGCCCAACCCGGTAGCTCCTTCCTCAGATCTAGCTGGCCAAGTTTTTAATTCCTTCTGGATTACCACGAGTAAAGTAAACTTAGCCAAATCAAGACATCTACAAACCATCAAGACAACATCAAATACAGCAACGACAACCAAGATGGCAACCTCTGAAGACTGGCTCGTGGCCATGAACGACCCGTATATGCAGCAAATAATCGACGGAACCAAGAACTACGAATTCCGCAAGTACAACATGTCCGGCATCAAGCGCATGTGGTTTTACCGGACCGCGCCTCACTCCGCCATCACCCACGTCTGCGAGGTGTCCGCCGCTGCAACTCGCAACCCCGGCGACGCGCCTCTCCCCGAGAATGGCGAGGGCAACAAGGAATTCAACGACAAGCATCCTGATTGGAACGGCTATGAGTTCGCCTACCGCATCAACTCTGTCTACCAGATCAACGCCCCCGGTGGCATCACCTTGCAACAGATGAGAGCAGAGCATGGAATGAGGAGTGCTCCCCGCGGAAGGGTCATGCTGCCAGCATCTATCTCGGAACAGCACCCTTGGGACCAACAGACCAAGGTGCTCTAAGTACGAGGAATACTCCAAGGACGATGCGATAACGACAGAGAGGCCGGAGGAAGGAAATGACGAATAATGAGACTAAGAAATGGAGTCGAGGAACAGTCTTTCCGGGAGACGAATAAAAGCTTGCATTTCGACGAGTTTGGTGACATGACGTGACCCTATTGCCGCTTGGTTTTTTTTTTCCTTCTTGTTTTGATCGTGTGTGCGACGCGTGAAACGGGCAGCACTACTCGGACGTGACAATCTCACTTGTACGGAGCCTGCCCCCAACCGCCTCCCGGACCTGCAGCCCCTTCTTGTGCCCGATCCAAGACGTCCGCAGCTCCATCATCAAGCTGTGCACCGCGTCGCAGTTGACCACCAGGTCCGTCTCGTTTCCGAGCGGCTCGTCCAGCCCGTCCGCCGTACCCATCGCGCCGAGGATGTCGCCCCGCAACCGCACCAGCCACGGGTGCAGCGCGCTCACGTAGTCGTGGACGGTGACGAAGCCGCCGTCCTGGCCGTCCCACGCCTTGGAGGGCTTGATCGTCAGCTTGGCGTTCTTGCCGCGCGGCCGGTCCTGCTTGCAGCAGCGCAGTAGTTGCGGCTCGTCGTCGTCCTCCTCCTCCTCATCATCCTCGTCCCCACCGCCGCCGCTCAGCTTCCCCCATTTCGCGTTGGGGAACGCGTCCGGCGCGTCCGGCTCCGAGTGCTCTTCGTGCACGTTGAGCCAGCTCTCCTCCCAGTCCTCCAGCTCCGACACGCGCACGGTGATGGACGACACCTTGGGCTCCGAGATGGGCAGCGCGCCGACGGGGTGGTGAGTCCCGGCTGCCTGGTCGTAGTAGGGTGTCCGCGTGTCTGGGTCCTTTGGGTTGGGGAGCACCTCGATGGCGCTCTGCACGGTGCCCTGCACCGGCATGAAGAGCAGCTCGGCGCTGTTGGGTGCGCCGGCCACCGTGGCCTGGGCGGTCCTGAGGGCTTCGTAGGTCCGGTAGGGATTTTCTGCCGCGGACATCCTGTGAAAGCTTTTATGCTGTTTGAGACGTTTGGATTGAGGGAGACACGGTGTTTTGCTTCGATGAGATGTGGGTTGTGAGAGGGCAAAAGGACTTAAGGTTGTCAGGGCCGACCTCAAATAAACCCAGATACACCACGCCCACTAATCCCTCAACTAAAACTATTAAAACAGCATTAATGTTCACAACGTTAAGCATGGCAGTAATCGTAGGAGACTATCTTATAGTCATAAATTAATAATAAGAAAATTAATGATGAAAGTTTTTAAGTAAATTAACTCCAAATTTACTTATCATCTTGACTTTGGCAGTAGTAACAAGGAGCGTTGGGGGTGATAGACGACGAAGACTATACTCACCTAAAAGTTTATCTACGTTTCTCTGCTTCTTTCTATATAATGCAAACTATCTTGCCTCTTCATTCTGAGAATGTCGGTTCTTTGACACCTGGTGCACCTCCCCCTCAAACCCAAACCCATACTTTTCTCTTGCAGTAGTTGATGCGTGTTCGGGGTCGTCGTTCCCCTGGCCGGTGAGCAACCCGTAACCCAGCTTCTGTTGCATCAAGTCTCGTGATATGTACCCATGATCTTTCTCTGGTCCATCCCATGCAACTCTATTCAAACATGCAGCCCTAGTTGCTGCCAAAACACTAGAAAATCGAGTGTTTCTCGAGATTCCACCGTTTTCCCGCAAAGCGATAGTCCCCGCTACAACCCCCAAGACTGCGAGGAATATAGCCATGCCGTAAACTGTGACGAGGATTCGAGCCCTATAGTAGTATCGTATGGCCGCGCGTGAACGTTCGCAGGGAAATAAGTAGTCGTGACCATCGCTTGTGCCTGTCATAATATTCGGATCTGCTGCCCACACTACTGCTAGAAACCTCGGGTTTCCAAACAGTGAGAGCACGAGTGTCTCATAGTAGGTCTCGATACGTTTCCCGAGGTTTGAATGTGCGTTGTACTGTCTCGGGTCTATCAAACTCGTCTGTACAACTCGGGTATTGGCAAACGTGTTCGGTTCGCGAATAGTTCCATTCAGCATATTACGCACAAAGTAGCCAAGCGAATGATAGGCTCCTGTGCGTCGATACTTTCCTACGTCTTTGGGGAGAACATAGTTTTCCTCGGGAATTGCGGTGGTATTGTCTCCAGTGCCGTCGTTTGCATCTACTCCAGCAAGAAGAGTTGTGTTTACAACCGGGGCAAGAAGCTTTCGTTTCTTGATTCGGTGGAGCTGTACACCGTCTATGTATCTTAGTTCGGCAGTGTAAGCAGCTTCGTAATGTTCGCAAGCAAGTATTACCGGTTCCCATGCTTCCGGATTGAATCTCCCCGTCTTTCTGTCCAGATAAGCAGGAATAGATGAATTGACGATCTCCAAGTAGCCTACCCACATGATGGGCTCAACTCGGAAAGCTCCGAAACTCCTCGGCCATGGCGGCGGTAATTTGGGGCTTCCTCCGGGCTCTGTCTCGACCATCTGTGGATTTCTATATTCCCCAAGAGTTGCATGGACTCTGTAGGTGTAATTCCCAAGTGGTGCCAAGGTGTCTAATTGGAATGGTGTGTGGGTTTGTCCTGATTCCTGTCGAAGGCTTTGGACTTTGGTACCGACTCCTCTAGCTAACTCTTGACATTTGTAGGCGGGTCCAATGAACTTGATCTCAGCAGTACAGTTCCAACCTTTCTCACAAACGACAAAAGTATCGTCCAGAACTGTAAATGGCCTGTTCATAAAGGTCCCAGCAAGAAGCACCTGCTCAGCCTGATCGGCCTTGAAGGCCCAATAATTAAAGAATTCTGGGGCAGTGGGATCGTTGCCCGTTGAGTTCCAGATGCTGACAGATAATTGGTTCAAGCCATCTATTTTCCGTGGGATGCGAAAGTCGTGGCTCTCCTCGTGATCGAAATTCAGGCTACGGATGCCCGGGCATTTTGCTTGCTGGACCTCTTGGGCGGACTCAACAAGAAGAGTGTTGGTTGTGAGAATGACGATGAGTGGTGAAAGCCTATTGATCATCAGACCCATCTCGCCAAACTAGGTAATGGGGATTTTCGTACCATGCCAAAGGCCAAGACCGTGCCATATCGCAACATAAGCAACTGATCATCGCCGTGTACGATCTTGCCTTCGAGAGACGTGTAGAACGCATGATGCCCAATCGCACAACCGATACCGATTGCGCAAAACACATACATGTTCCAGGATGGGTTCCATAAGTTTCGTGTTGGTAGGATTTGTTCCCACCAACCAGCTTTGTCAGGCTTGGTCTGCAAACGATATTGCTCCAGTGGGAGAAGTTGGCCTGCGCCGGGATCCAACAAGCGCTCTTCACTGCGGTACTTGAGTAACTCCGTGCTATTGTCGCCAGTCGCGAGATTTGGAGATGGAGATCGTGAGCGTGTGTATTTGGTTCGATCCGGGGGTTGACGCGGCCTCTCGATCATCTCAACCACGTCGTGCTGCATCCTCAACCGGTCAGGGTTCGACATAATGGCGCTTGAAGTTCCATTTACTGGACTAGCAGGGCGGGTAGAAATTTGATGCGCAGCATAAATGTGAGCTTGACTCGATAAGAAATACACAATCTGATCAGGCTGTGAGTGGCACAGCACGATACGAGATGCTCAACAGTAGACTATGCCAAGAACGCCATCTGCCGTCAGCAATACAACCAAGCGGTATTATTGGTTGCCTGTTTTGTCTTAAATCTTCAGGTCCATCACTAAATAAGCAGTCAGCAAATCATTTACATTTGAAGACAGCATCCGAAGCCTCAACAACTTAGGCGGTTTCCCAATCGTCTGATTCCAGTCTCGGCAAAGCTATTAATAAATATCTAGTCGTTTCAAGGGCGAGAGAATGCATCATGTTGACGAACATGGTTGATTCTACATACAACTTGGCTCGTTTTGTGCTTGACGTATGAAGGGCTCAGATTCAAATACACAACAGCTCTTCATTCAACAGCCAACTCCTGTATCGGTTGGTCGCATCCTTTCGTTGTGGCAGGGCATGGCAGGGCTGTTGCAGACCGCCACGTTCACCATGTACTTAATTCACCGCACTCCACCCTATTCTGAAATGCCGGGCTGTGGATGGCTCTAGGATGGCTCAGGTACATATAAACTGCTTGATCCTTTCCCCAATAATCGTACTCTCTAATCTCAGCTATAGATTGGGAGATTCCTATTATATATTACCTTTCCTATATTAGCGCTATTATTTAATAAGAGGGGTTAAAGATTATACTTAGTATATTATAGATAACTTACTACTATATATCTAATTAGCACTAATACTACCTAATTACCTCTACTAACTCTATTCTCTACTCTAATATAGTATTTACCTCTAGTCTTATAACCTCTATAATATTATATATAGTATTATTATTAATATATATTAGAATTTTATTAAATATATCCTTAATTCTCTATAATATATTAATATTACCTATAAATAATATAATAATAAGTTTATACTTAAAGAGTAAGATCTAAACTCTCTATTAATAAGAGAGTATTACAGCCTACTAACTAATAGTGGGGTTTATATTAATAGTAAGTTAGGTAATAATAATAGTAATAGTTATTTATTATTCTATAGGTCTAATTAAGTAATTATAGGTCTTTAAAGGGCTTAGTAATTAGTTAAGTCCTCAATAAGATTTATAGAGTAATTATCACTTAGGTATAGCTAAAAGTCTTAAGTGAGAATTATAAGTTAATTGCTAAAGAGCTATAGAAGTCTATCCTCAAGCGGACTTGAGTCTATCCTATATATAAGTCCTGAGTAGCCCTATTGCTGGGTGCCGTATCTGCCTTGTATGGCTCCTATATCCTTGGCATATAGTGTTACGACCCGTTGGGCATGCTTAGCAGAGAAAAAGCCCCATAAGGACAACTGGGCGGCTAGAACGTCACATTTATATATAGGATTATGGGAATAGAAAGGACTCACCTTGGAACGGAAGAACTATAGAACGAGTTACGTAACCTCAGCTAATAAGATGAGAGTCAACAGAGTTAGTGGCTAACTCTAGCGACTCTTAAGTATACTAATTAAGATGAAGTCGATAGAGTTGATAGTTAACTCCTGCAACTCTAAGGTAGAGGTATAGAGGAACGGCTTAGGACTTATATATAGGATAGACTTAAGCCCAGCTTAAGGACAGACTTCTATAGCTCTTTAGCAATCAACTTTATAACTACCCTTATTAGTACTTTTAGCTATACCTAAGTAATAACTATTCTATAACTCTTATTAAGGCCTTAACTAATTACTAAGACCTTTAAAGACCTATAATTACTTAAATAGCTCTATAGAATAACTTAATACTATTTATAGTTTTTAATCCCTAACTTACTACTAATATAAACCCACTATCAGTTAGCTAGCCGTAACATACAGCTTCCATCTTTCTGGGATATGGATGCTGTATCCTGAATATATGGATCTAATCTCTTATCTTATCGTCACGTGACTTGTACTATAGTTCTTCCGTCCCGGAGGGAACCCCGCGTGTTCCCGTGATCCTGCATATAAAGGTGCTGTCATAACCGCCTAGTTATTACGACCCATTAGGCATAACTAATAAAGAACGCCCTATAAGGATATTAGGTGGTTAGAATGTCACCTTTATATATAGGATTATAGGAATATAAGGGGCTTACCTAGAATAGAAGAACTATAGTATAAGTTATATAATAATAAGTAGGACTAACTTTTAATAAGTAGTCTTAGGACTAGGATAAGGATTAGGACTAATATACTAAGGGCGGTCCTTAAGGAGGACTAACTCTTAGATTGTGGTCTATATAGGAAGAGAAGTATCTAGGACTTATATATAGGATAGACTTAAGTCTAGCTTAAGGATAGACTTCTATAGCTCTTTAGTAATTAACTTTATAACTACCCTCACTAGTACTTTTAGCTATACCTAAGTAATAACTACTCTATAACTCTTATTAAGGCCTTAACTAATTACTAA